CACGGGACAGTAGTGAGTCTCTCCGAGACTGTAGGTATTCTTCCAGAATTACCATGGCTTGTGATTAAACCTGGGATCACAGAGTGCTGTTTGAGAAGTTGTCGTGAGCAACTTGTGACATAACCTGGAAAAGGCGCCAATTGCCTGTCGGAATCTCAGAGTCCCTGAGAACATCTATCATGCAGCACCTGCGACATCTCTGTCAGATATTGGTTGAGAACCCTTAACGGAGAAGCTTTCTTTGGCACCACAGATCTTTGTGAGTGAAGTCATGCAGATTTTGCCCCCAATTTTTAAAGTAGTGGTGAAAGAAGACTTAGGGCAGGTTTTGAAGCAGTTCAGGTAGATAACTGCCGAGAGCCAAGAGAAATCTAAAGTCTGATTCTGAACTTGGACAATTCAGCTATAGATGGCACAGAATATTTGGACAGGGAGTAATAGAAGAACTGGGATATAGTTATCTATGAATTGCACTGCCAATTCGACCCTGTGGATGATGCATCAAGGAAAGTTTAAGGCTCGGAAAGGACCAGGGCCAAGAGCGTGGTTGCTAACGTGGACGATATATGCCGAGTTCACGGTAAGGCCTACCTGCACCTATTAGTGGACAAGTTCATATTCGGGTCAGTCGTTGGAGAGGAAAATACAGAAGCAGCACCTGTAGTACCTACACCTCTGGTTAACCAAGCAACTCAGATACCTATTTATCAGTAACAGTGAAATCTGCCTTTTACATTTAAAGTCACTTTTGTTAATCATCTCGCATACTTACTTTTCCAAACCTAGCAAGTTTATGCTTTTTCTCTAGTGGATAGTGGAATAATTTACCTTGTAACAAATTAAATGTTTTGTACAAATCCTTCAGAAATTTTAAGAAGAATTTTAGCTTTAGAAATAAGTAACCACATATATTTCTTTCTGCCGCTGATCACGTGACGTTGCAAACATTTTAGACTGGGGGAAGAGAGTCGACCCGAGGGCCCAAGCGGAAACTCTCGGTTTCTAACATTTAGGTAGAAAAGAAACATCTACCTCTTTTTACACAAAATGAGAAAATCAAGTAGCATTCTGAAGACGGCATTAATCCGAAACAGAAAAGTTTATTCTGTTTTTTTTTTTTACTCTAAAATCGCAACATATAAATTACGCCATCCAACTATTGGAAGTATTTATAGGAAAGGTTTCCATTAAAAGCATCATGTGAATATCAAACTTTTCTATAAAGTAGTCATTAGATATAGTAGAGACGCCTGATATGGGTATAGAAAACTTTTTATTTTGAAAAGCACAAACAAATTATATCGTTTCGACCTCCTTAGGTCATCATCAATTACAGTCATTAGATATTGTTACTGATTCGTGTTAAAACATATTCTTACAAACATTTTTTTAAAATATAAACCTCAGCAGAAAACATAATTATAGCATTAATCGTGTAATTTCGTTTTTCTATTTGCCCTGCAGTAGCTCAGCGGCAAGTCTGCAGGTTAAAAACTGGGTTTGGACACCAGTTGTGGGTAGAGCACAGATAGCCCATTGTGTAGCTTTGTGTTTATCCTAAACCACCCCACCCCTTGCTCAACTACCTGGTGAGTAACACAAGAAGCTAACACACAGAGACGTTTTATGTATATTTAGCACAAAATATAATTTAATGTTTGAAGTATATAGTCACGAATATATACAATACACTTTCCTGGAAAGCAAAGGAGTATTCTCTCGTTTATGTTACTATTTCTTTATTTAATTGTGAGAAGTTCAGATAAAAAATTCTCATATATTATGCTGAATATGATGATAGCTTATTAATGGTAGAGGCGACGTTAGGCACTGGCACACAGGCCCAAATCCTATCTGCCAATGCCCCGAACCCCCAGTTGGTGGTTTAAAAATCAGAATATAATACCATGATCAATATCATTTTCAAACGCCGAAAATTCCCGCGCCCCAAATCTTTTAAGCACCTAGCGACGCCTCTAATTAACGGTATTGTCACAGTATCAATCCAACATTTTTTAATCTTTACCTTCCAACAGTTTCTTTTTCAAAGACTAAAAAATAAGTAAGTTGCAAAAGAATATACATACACACACCATTAGCAGTATATTTGTAAATAAATAAAAAAAAAAGCATAGAGTTGATCAATCAAACTTTATTTATATCCTATAATTTTCAGAAAACTTTCTATGGCATGTTAATTTCTTAAATAAAATAAATACCGAATTTAGCCACACAAAATGCTTATAAGAAATGATGAACTGCTAATTTCAAGACAGAACACATCAGTGCTTTTATATACTAAGAAACAAAACCAACACCTAAGATATACGAATGTATTATACATTTATAACCTTACAAAATATGATTCGTTGCCACCAAAGGTACGAGTAATTGTATCGATTACTGGAATCTTATAAGCATTATGTTAGTGTAAGCCATAACTACGACTCAGTTTTTCAGGCTAAGAATTTGTCTAACTATATACCTTCTTTATTTTATCATTCTCGTGTAATACATCAATGATTTCTAGTATTGGAACGCTTTATTATTTCTAGTAAAATATGGAAAACTCAGTTTTTAAAACTTTTTTAAACGATATTTTGCAATAGAAGCTTCTAAAACACACTTTCTTTAGATTAACGAGTGGTACATTCAGAATACACAAGACTGGGTAAAACCACTATGCATGTTAATAGCTGAATTATTAATATTTTTCAACATACCTCGTTTCTATAGGCATGTTGGAGATTTAAATTTTAAACAGTATTCAATGTTGTAAAACGATTTCACATAATCACTTGCATTTTTGTAAACTTATATATACATAATTTTTAGTTCTGATATTTTATACAAATATATACTTCAGGACGCGTTTGCATATCTTATTGTTATCTGAACAACGTTAATGATAGTTCGTTTCCTTTTTTTCAAACACTAACCTGAGAAAACATAAAATACAACAAACATGAAATATGATTTCTTTTAAAGGTGGCATTTATCCTTGGTAGAAGTTCGGTACTCTTCCTAGTCATAATTGACGTCCTAGGAGTAGCAGTGCTACTTCTATTGCCGCATATGTTCTAACATATTTATATATTTCAGTAATATTTTGTTAAAACAGAAACAGGTATTTTTAAACACATTTTTAATAGAAAAGGAAAGGGAAGTCTATCTCTCACAGTGAAGTAAAATATTCTCAAAAGCCTTACGTTACTTACTTTGTCCTATACGTTTTATAACTCACTTCATCAGCAGGATGATTGGTTTTCTGAAAATATCGAAAGTTGACAATGCACGGGAGCCAGTAGATATATATGAAGGTTGAAGCATACACTTTATAGATTGCCAAGTTATTCAATATGAAGCATTATCTAAACTAGCATAAAACCTGCACTATAATGAGGAGTTTGAAGGCTCCCGTCATGATTCATGGGGCCTCAATGTACCAAACAAGCTTATCCATTATTCCTAATTACTTCTCTATTTACCTCAAGGGATTTCTGTACCTGAAAAGAACACATTAGAATACTCACTTATGATTTGTTTGTTTTAGAGCAAAGCCACACTGGGCTATCTGCTGTGTCCATTTTTGGTAATTGAACCCTAGATTTTAGCATTGTAAGTCCATAGACTTACTGATGTTCCACTAGGGGACCCCACTCATGGTACTTGAGCACATATGTCCTGATAGCTTATGAGTGGGGGTATGAACAGTTTCAAACTTGGTGCCTCAAGATTTCAAGGGGCCAAATACACAAAATTCAATGCCATTTTCTGGTTCAACAACACTAAAAACCCTACTCTTAGACCCAACTCATCATGCCTGGGTGATTTTCTGGGGGTGTTTTAATCCCAACTTGGTAGGGGGGGTGGGGCTATGCCATAAAAAGATAAGGGTACCCTGAGTCCACCAGCACAATTTGGCTCTGCTAGCTCCCAAACTGTGGGAGGAGTTAGATATACATACATACAAACTACAACCTGAATTAATATAGGATATTGTACTATATTCATGCAAAGATTCCAAAATCACTTTTTCATCATTGTTACCTAATATGTAAATAATTTGCCAATTAAAATACTGAACTGTTGAGACGATAACAACAAAATATCATGTTTTTCTTTATAACATAATGGTCCTTTTATAATTTTCTCTGTTTCAAGAAAGGATGAGACAGAATAATCATGTTCATACTCATGAAAGTTTTTCGAGCCTGTAAAGTTAACGACAAGATCCATATGGGTCATTAAGATTTTCAAACACTTTTTCTAAGCTATTTATGCACCAAGCTATTTGTGGATCCATGATTTTATTGTTAGTCACACACACCAAAGTAAAAAAAAATATCATCAATTGATCACACTACTTACTGCTGGAGTAAATCACAAATCAGTGATGTATTTCAGTTTGTTTTTACTTAATATTTGGACCCCACTGGTAGAGAACAGTCTAACAAGTTGATAATTGTGATATAATTTGGTTAGTTTTACTTAATATCTGGACCCCACTGGTAGAGAACAGTCTAAGTTGATAACTGTGATGTATTTTGGTTAATTTTTAATTAATATCTGGACCCAACTGGTAGAGAACAGTCTAACAACGAGTTGATAATTTAAAAGTTATACAAGAAAAGTAAATTAAAATACAAATGCTGTGGAGAAGTTTTCTTAAGTTTATAAGCAACCTATGCAGAATAATATTCTTGTTTCAACCAATGACACATTTCTGTGTACAAGCTAGAGATAAATCTCCTCTAGCTCTCTTATAGCCTAAAACAAGAATGTAGGGAAATTATTATATGCACCCAGATTTCCTGCATACTTTTACTGCAATTTCATAGAGTAAAGGACTCAAAAAAGTTAATGTGAAGGAAAATAATATTAACATAAAATTTTCATTACATTTTAAGAAGCTTAAAATTAATTTCTTACTGTTTTGAGTCAGCACCCCTACGAGATTCCAGTGTTTTGTATTTAGAAGAATTCATATATTGATGAAAAATCCCTAATTATAGTAGACTAAGTAACAATTCTTGGAATAAATTAACCACTGAGATTGTAAATATTCAAACCAATGTTCTACTTTTTTTTGCACTTCAATCATCAAAATTTTATTAAATGGTTATGGCACTGAGAAATGTACGATAATGCAAAATTGCACAGGTTTTTTTATATATGTTTCAAAAGTTTCAGCTTACATTCTACCATTATAATGTTTCTTATTAAAAACAAGTAGATGCAAAGATTATTAACAACACAAGTTTTCTATTATCATTTTTAACCTGTCTACATACAATACTGATACCCAAACACAAATTCCATTAACTTTCAAAGAGTGAGAAACAAAATAAGACTTTAATATTTAAACATGTTAACTTTAAACATTGTTTGATAACTTAGAGCTAAAACCCACATGGTACAAAGTAAGTTGTGAACAGGCCTTGTAAGAAACTGACAGATGTTTCCTGACTTGTCCTTAATGTCTGTTAAAAATGTCACACATTTACTATTAATAATATACTTTTGCTAGACATTTTATCCTCTAACATCAACATATGAAAGAAGTGAATATATTACAGAGCACTAATAGGACCTTTCAAGATGTGAATTTTAAAACAAATTTTTCGTTTTGTATATGTAATCAGGAAAGAAGGGGTGTCAAAACATGACTTATCAAAGAAATAAATTATATATAGATTTGTTTGAAGCACATTCAAACTTCAGAAGTTTGTCATGCTGAGATTACTTTTTATTTTAAAATGTATACTTACATGTAATAGCTGTTCTGAACTTTCAATACACACAAGAACTGTTATTCAAGTCATTATATTACTTTCACCATCCACAATCTTTTCTTTTACTGCTATCTTAAATATTAAGTTTGCCTGAGATGAATGAAATAAAAGTACATTACTTTTTTTTACCAACAAATCACACGTGATTGTTTCTAACAGAACTACAAAAAAAAATCATAAGAAAATGAATGCTAGAACATCTATCAAAATGCTTTGTTTTGAGCCTGTCACAAATAGTTTATGTTATGCCAAAATGCAATGTACTTTATAAGGATAAACAAATAAATAATGCCTCAATAGACAATAAGCAAAGATGGTAAATAAAGGTGAATACCTGCTGTGGGTCAAAAACGAATGACTATCAGGAACACCAACTGCTCCAAGACTGTGTTAAGTATAAGAAAGATGAAATGGACCTTCTGGATGATCTCAAAACATCATTTCAGTGATGCAAGAGTAGAGATTTTCCACCATTTTTCCAAACCTTTTGGTTCTAGCAATGTTGACCAACCACACTGTTTACATCTAGAGGATGGGGTGGTTTGAGTCAAATCATTTAGTTCTTAACACAAGTTTAAGCCTGAATGACAAGAGATGTGTGAACTAGCTATGCCATTTTATTAATAATTGTCTGATGTAATGTTGACAACTGGACAGTCCACTTCTCCAAAGCATTATACCTTGCTGCTCCTTGTGTCTTTTTGTCCAGTTCTAAGATGTGGTTGACCTGATCAATTCGACCTTGGATTGTGCTGATTTAATTTAAATCATAAAAAAATTACTCAACAGAGATTGATTCATAACACATACTCTACTTTTATATAAGACGACACAATTCATAATATAAAAAAAACATTATAAACTACACTACAAAATTATTAAACAGACCATAATCATTGTATTTTTAAAGTCTTGTACTAAGATAGCATATTAATTTTTGTAACATTTTTTAGTCCAATGTAAAAGTAAAAATGCTATTAAGAATATTTTTGAGCTCAATAACCACTTGTAACAAAAGTAACATATTTCTTACGCAAGTCATATTAAATTATTATTGACAAAAATATTTTAAGAACTCAGACACTTTGCTTCATTTAGAATTTTATCTTCCATTCAAAAAACAGAATAAAAACCTAATTTTTGGAAGGTTAATGATATGATAAATGTAGATCTAATTACTCCAGCCATTGAATTTTTTATTTAGAGATCTTGAAACATGTAATACTGTTTATTTTAAATGTAAATGTAACTTTTTTCTAATGTTTTAATTTACAAGCAATAAATCTATTCAGGAAAATTTAAATTTCTTCTAGAAAGTTATTTTCTTAGTAGTTATAAAGTAAATTCTAAAAGATCAAGCAATAGAAATAAAACAGAGCAAACTCACTAAAAATAAGAGAACCTTATAAAAACAAAGATAGGCTATCTTATAAAGCTGAGGGTAAAATTCTTCAGAAATGAGAATCAAGTAATTAAAAACAAACTACAGATTCTAAACTGTTTAACATAACACTTCAGGTACACTAATACCAAAAATTTATTTGTAATGAGCAAATAAGGTTTTTATACAAGATATTTTAAGACAAAGAAATAATGAAGTCTAAATTCAGCCAAAGCCAAGTGATACTTTGCATGACCTCTTCTTATTAAACTATGAATTTGCATATCAGAAGTCAAATAAGTGGTTAATTAGTACAAAGTAAAATTCACGGGTGCTAACAAAATGAAAAACTTTGGATGAAACATTGTAGGTAATTTCACAGACCATAAATTATCAGGAAACAAAATAAAATTGGTCTTGAGAACTTCTTTGAGGATGGAATTTCATTGGTAAAGGGAAAGTTAACACCCAACAAGTAAATTATTACAGCACCTTGAAATATGACAGGAAAGAGCAATAAAAAATATACCAATCTGTCTAGTAGAACATTTCATTATTAGTATTATGTATTTTAATGATATAGTGAAAGACAATCAATATATCCATTGTCTCAAAATAAAATTAGTTCCACAAACACATAGATACTTACTTGTCTAATATACAAGACACTAATAGATTTTCTACATCTGGTGCATCAATATTCAATTCCTAAAAAAGACAATATTTTTCACAAGTCAAACTCATTAGACAAGATAAAAAAATCACAATGAACATTTTAGCAGTCAATAATATTATATGTGGTGAATAAATGCCAGGAATGTCAAAAGTAATTCATTCCTCATCTACATTTAAAAGTAACAAAAAATATGTTAATAAAATTTTTTAAAGGTAACTACATTCATTTATTTTTAGTATTCACGTGTGTACTTGATATTTGTGTTTGTTATTAAAACAAGTTAGAAAATCATTTTCTTATAACAATATATTTTACTGCAGTAAACTTTTGGTCAGTTCATAAAGCATTGCACAGTTTAAAGTTATCTTTTAGAGTATCCTAAAAATATCTGAAATGTATGGAGTTCACAATAAAACCAATCCATGACTTTATTTGAACTTTAATCTTGAAACATTTCTAAACAAACTTCTGATGGAAAGTTTAAATATTAATTCATATTACAATAATAACTTTTACTTTTTGCTAATTTTATTTTTACAAATCATTTAAAGTGAGTAAAATGTGAGAGATTATTCAGTATAAATGTACGTATCTGTATTAAGCTTCCATGTTAATTATTTCTCACCTTAGAAATAAAGGGTATATGTATCCTGGTGTATGGTGTGATTAGTTTGATTAAGACCTGAGTTCGAATATTTCTGAGTAAATCTGAAAAAAAATAAATAAATTCTTACTAAGAAATTAACACACAGGATTACATACAAAAGTTGTAGCAGTTTTCAAATGAGACCCAAAACTTGAGTGCTTTCAAACAGTGAACTATTTTTCTTCAGGAAGAAGAATAGTGAATTATTCGATACCGTTTGAGTTTTGGGTCTCGTATGCAAAGAAATAATTTAGTGAACAAAAGGCATTTACAATAATCAAGTATCCCATAAACATACGAATCATATTTTTTCATGAAAGAAAAACAATGTAGAAAATATCAATTTCTTTCTCCATTTATAGGATTGAAGAGTCAAGGACAAGTCCATGAAGGTATAACATTTCATAAAAATGCTTATAAATTTTTTTTACTAAATTTGTTAAAAAACTACCAAAGGTGAAAAATGTATTGTGGCACCATATTTTAGTTTGTAAAGGTACTTAAGTTGCATTTCACACAGACACTGGCGTTTATATATAAGAATGGATGAAGACACTGAAAATTTACAGCATGTCTCTTCATTTTTAGGACAATGTGTAACACAGAACAACCACTTTTTTCTGTTATTTTTGGGTGACTTAATCTGACAGATATATATACTGTACAATAAGATAATTATACTACAGTTATAATGAAATGTTATAATTTTCCTATACTGCAAATGTATTTCCAACAGGTACTTACCTCCTCTCACATATATAGCTATTCTCATTCAGTGATGCCCTCTATATGCACTCCCACGATTATCATGGTTCAACTGCATCTCGCATGTAAATCCTCATGCAACAACTCTCCACCAATAGGAGTTTGAAACACCCTCCTGACACACGTGACTCTCTCTATTCAATTCTACCAATTTATAACTTTGAGTTCAAGCAGAAAATGAAGCATCAGTTTTCAGTGGGGAGGAAAGATTGGAAGTTTGAGAGGATGTAAATACCTATCAGAAATATATTTTCAGTATTGGAAAATTATAACTTTTGATACGGTACATTACCTCCTCTCACATATATAGCTAGAATCCCACACTGAATAGATGGAGGGACAGGTGCAAAGGCTAGAAATAAGCATCCTTAAAAGCGTCTAAAGAACACCCAAGAATTGTGATCTCCGTAGTAGAGGAACATATGTGGGAAACTGCACCACTTCTGTACCAGGTATACTCTGCAAACAGTGTGGAAAGGTGTCACATACCCAAGTGGAAAAAGAGAGGAGCACAACCAAAATGGAGAGAAAAATGGTTGGATTTGACTCTAAACCATAGTGTATCATAATCTCAATCCTGCTGAAGAAAGACTGTAGAAGAAACATCTACAAACAGTAATGTTGGGGAAAGCTAAAATGGATGTGCTCCAAGGTGTAGAGTGGATAGGGTGCAACAGACTGTACATGGGAGGTAAACTTCAGTCCAAAATCAATCAGTATCAGGAATATAACCTGCGATCCATGGTAGGAAGAGAGTTCACACTGTCTTCACCTCAAGTTCAGTAGAACAAAAGTATATACTGTGCAAACCTATTTACAAAACAGACACGTGCTCAAATCCACAACCAACCATACATCCGAGAATCCAACATCCAAATGATAGCAGTAAGAGATGTGCCCATGTGGCAGGTCACATCAAACTCGAACTCAATCAGACTGGCACCCCACTGCGCAAAATCATCCTTAGGCCACGAAACTCCTTGAGGTGGAGTGCAAGAGGGAGCACAGTTGCATCATTAAACATTATCCCCTGGATAGGACTGCACAGAAGTTGGAGTGCAATGCCACCATCTGGGTCCAATGCACAGAAGTGGATGGATGAAAATTATAACCACCTCATCCTCCAGACAGAACCACACAAAAGCTGGGCACAACATTAACCTCCAGACCCACTGCATGGAGTTTGTGATCATGAGGCAAATTAAGTGAGGAAGAGGAAACACAAGCAACACATGTATGAGCACTTATGTTGATTTGTCTTGCTCTAAATCCAAAACCAGCCACTGGGAACTGACATCCATGTGATGGTAGGATGAGGGATCACAAATAAAGGGGTGTACTGCAATGTGACGGATCAACTGCAAAGCAACATCCTCTTCCGGATAGGACCGCACAAAGGTGTGAGCACCATACCAACTTCCGGGTAACTCTGCATAGAAGTGAATTGCATCCATAAATTATAAGCAACCTCACCCTCCGGATAGAATCACACACAAGTTGGCTGCAACATCAATCCACGGAGCCCACCATACAGAGATGGAGCACATGATTGGAGGACCACACATCACCTAAACAGTAGAACATCACTGCTCTACTCTCTACTGAATGGAAGCAATCACATTCAGGAAGACACCTTTATGATCCACCACCCCAGTGACTCGGATCTGGAAAGTGGCAAGGACTCCCATACTCTGCTAGAAAAACAAGGGAGATGAAACATGATGGAGAATCTGGAGGAATGCCAACACTGGAGACAGTGCAACAAGTGACCATGAAAACCGTATATTGAAAAGCAGATCACCCCTGATTTATTCAATCGAAAGGACAGCAGGGGTGAGTAGCTATCCCCTTCTGCTTTACCCATGTAAGTCCGTGGGTTAGTACTGTCTTGTATGGACAGGCAACGCTTGCCACTAAGCTGGATCTAAATTCTAAATGGGACATGTCCCTGGAGGGACAAATATATATGGAAAAGATAACTTACCCAGTCACAGCCACAACAGTTTGAAGAACACAAAAGGCAGAAGGCAGTACCCATTTGCTTAATTAGTTGCTCCAAACCATGCATTGATCCTTTCATATGAGCAAAAAAATTTTTATCAAAAGTAGCATCAGCCTATTCCACCATGTCTCTATTCCAATTTCATAGTTGTTACACAAGATCTGGTTGGATAAAACAGTGTTACTTGCACCATTCACCAATCAAATACTGTGTTAGAATACTCTATTGTAACTTCCATGGTGCAACTAAATTTCAAAGCAGAAACAAACTAAATATATATCCAGAACACAGAAAAAACACTGAGATGTGGAAATAGAAAATAAACATATCAGATTTCTGTGAAAACTTGCATAATTGCAACAAGAACTGATCATACAACTTGATTAGTTATAGTAATAAACATAAATGAAGAATTTTGAAGAATGAAATAATATGAAAAGCAAACCTCTCACATATGTTACCACCACTAAAATAACACAAGGCATATTCTGCAGGAATTAATTAACACTTTTCAGACCACTTTAAAGTGCTGAGTGCACCCCTGCATATCAAATTTTAAGTAAAACTAATACTCCTAACTTAATTTCAACAATTTCATACACAAACATACTTTAGAATCAATATTTTTTCATATGTTAACATTTAGTATAATTTTCAGAGAAAAATGTTCAAACGTACATATTTGCACAGCTCCAAGAAGCCTTGTCTGCAAACAACACATTAATAAATTGTTTTTTAGAAATTCCTGTTCACACAAAACACAAGTTTATATTTTATAGGAAACTATCTCCCCTCACGAATATAATTATCAAGGTTTTGTTTATCAGGTGATTTTCTTTCTCTTTCTCCAATTTTTATTAGAACAGCCTCTTGTTTCTGACCTTTTATTACCTCATAGCATGTGATCAGAACAACAACTCAGCTTTGAAGAATGCTACAGGCAAAGTATAAATACCATTGGATAGAGCAGGTTATAAACTATTTATGTCAATAAAATGCTGTGTGAAGTAACTTATGGTTCTGTGGGAAAGTGTCAAGACCTAGCTCCTGCAGAGAAGAACAATGGATACTAATGGGAAGTTCAGAAGATGGTAGATAAGCCTTATTAGGTTCAGGGAATATGTTGACTGAAATTCTTATTGAATATTATTTTTCAGTTAACCATATTCAAAGGTGCACACAAATAAAATAACTTATAATTTATTGGAAAGAAAATACATTTATTAGATATGTTTATTTGGACCAACAATATTGTTAGCAAAAATATTTTTACCTAGTCTGACCAGATGTCATTTTGAAAGGTCAGGTCCTAGGTCACCAATAAATCTTTGCGAGTTTCTGCAATTGGCAAAATAAAGTATCAAGCAAATATCTGAGTGATTATCATTCAAGATGAAATTGATTGGATATTTTCAATCAAATTTTCTGATCAATGGTAGAAAAATTTTGAATTTTAAAAGAGATGAAGCATTTTTAATACTTTTTTCAAAACAGTCTCAATGAACTTTTGAAAATTTTACAACATAAAAATTAATTAAAAATATATATATTAACTTTTAAAACCAAAACTAGATACTACTTAGAAAGTTTTTCAAGTTTTAAGCAATTTGGTTAAGTATTACCACTGTGACAAGGAAAAAATTAGGGCATATCAGTGACACCCCTCCAGCCCAGAAAGGGTTAAGTGTTCAAGTGAGTTAGATATTGGAAGTGCAATAAATAACTTTCAGCACTTTTGCTTTTGTTTCCAACAAATTAAGACATTTTAAGGAAATTCTAAAAGGAATTTCAAGTTTTTTTGGAACTTCTTCATTTGTTGTTGGTATCTACATGAATAATAAAACAACCAAGTACCAGCATATTTTTAAGCTGTTGTTATTGTTTGTAGAATTGATCAGTGAATGAGAATGACCACTATGTTATAATGGCCCTATGACTGAAATGGTAAGCATGTTCGGGGATGGGCTTAAATCCCACAAACTGCAGATTGCCAGTCAAGCACCCTAACCACCAGACCTATTTTGAAAGGATTGCTACATGTAGTCCTTTAAAGCACAATTCATCTCCTCCATCAGTCCAAGAGTTTCAACATACTAATAGAATAAAATTTAAGTGTTATATAACAAATGAAACTGTTTACAGCCACTTGATGAACATTAACCGTCGGAGGTATTGTCCATGAGAGGATCAACAAGATCCAATTCATTGCCAAACACATATTATAATTGTTGTTGTATACCCAAAGCCTTTTCATATTCCTTCTTTAAATTTGTCATTAGAACATAGTGTTAAAACCAATGTCACTTTCACTTGCCACTTTATGTTGTGAGACACCTATTTTGGAAACTCATAATACATAATACTGCTAGCAGCACAATGACAATGCACTCATATCAAACATATGGGAATAAAAATCCTGTTTCTTTATGAACATTCCTTTTACTCATTTTCTGTGATAACAAAACAAAGTACATACCTTTTGTGTACTGTATGATAAAGGAACAAAATACAAACCTTCTATGTGCTCTATTATAAAAGGGTCATCCATTATATTTTTCCTATTTGTTTTAAGGATTTTCTCAAATTCTTTGATGTCATTATTTTGATAAGAACTGTAAAAGAAAGTAAAACAGTGTAAAGATGAGTAGGAGGACTGTTGGATGTAAATTACTTCAGTGTTCCTATTCAGAATATTCACTTTGGAATCAATTCTCGAAAATTAGTTTCAAAGACTGATTTAAACTTCACATGTTAACAAAGAATTAAATATATTAAAATAATCTAAATATACAACACTTAAGATACATATTAGTGTTGTTGATCATTCGGACTTTAAATAATATGTGTAGATGTAACTGTTTAGACATTTTTATCTGCACGATTTCTTTACAACATACAGGAGCTTTGCAGTAGGTCTAAGCTATGACAATTTACATGATGACTGGTGCAAGTCTAAGTTTTTTAACTCTGTTAACTGTTTGTTTTCTTAGAATTTTCATGCAAAGCTACATAAAGGTTATCTGTGCACAGCCATCCATAATCTTTAAATAATATTCTTGAGAGAAGGTAACTATCCAAAAACACACGCTGTCAACCTAAAGAGATATTCTAGTCTGACTGAATAGTGTAATTTAACCATCACTCTCTCATTACAACCACATCTCAAAGTGTAGTTTTGTTACAATGGGACATGGACCATGAATTCTTAGATTCGTAATTTGGACAAGCCTAAATCTTTTAATAATGGCATATTTTACAATTGCAGATATAATTAAAGGATAGAGCATTAAGTGCTTTTAATTTACATGATTTAGTCAAATTGTAACATTGAATTTTAAGAACATATAATACAAAAATATAATCATTAGTAAAATAAATGAACCATGAAATATATGTTTCTAAAAATAGTATTTTTATTAAATATAAAAGGAAGCAGACAGTGAATTATAGAACAAGTTGTTTGTTTTTAAGCATAATGCTACATTATATAGAACAAATTAAAAAGCAACTTGAATTCATTTTAATATTACTTCATGGAATTAGCTCTAAGTTTTATATTTCTTTATTGATGTTCATCTTACCTCACTAAATTCGTCATTGCCAAAATTTCTGGGTCATTTTTATATGGCTTGGCTTCTTGGGAGTCAAAGGGATTAATTCCAGATTTCATCAACATGTTTGCTAGTACTAAGTATTTGAGACATGTCGTTCTCCTACAGATAAGTTCAATATTTTACAGTTTTAATGAAACTTAGCTAACACTTCCCAATCTAAAAACTTAATTGTTCACAAAATATTAGTAGTTTAGAAGTTTAATACTGAATGTTTCTTAAATCATTTATTATAATAATATTAATAAAGTGCTACATCTACTTACAGTTTATTAAAATGGGTATAAATATCCACTAGCTTTTTTCAACAGTATAGTAGAGCTTTAAGTGATTTCACTGAATTTTTAACTGTTTTTTTTCTTCTTCAAATCCAACCACATAAACTTTAGTGTTATTTCATGTGAAGAAGCTTTTAAGATGATATCTATAAATAACTAAAAAAAATTATATTACAGAAATTGTGTAAAAGATAATTATAGATATTTTAGTTCAGTGCACAAATGAGTTATGACAAATCACTCAATATGTGGTATGTCTAACAATTCCAATTTACACAAAACTTGAAATATATTGTTCTTCTTGAAAACAATAAACTTTCAGTTTGAATACTTCAAGTGGCCAAAAACTATACACAACATTTGGTCATAAGGTGAGCCCTCTGATTTTTAATCCATCTTTTACTCAAAAACTATTTGGGCTAAAGACTTGTGTTAACATCATGTGCAGGTGTGGGGTTCAAAGTTTTTACATTTTACAGTGTGACATTGAACAAGATATTAATGATGTCAGAGTTATCAATTGTTCATTTTACTCTACATTGCTTATTTAGTGCAGAGAAGAGTAAATACCAGATATAATAAATAGGGATACTGAAAAACTGTAGATATGCATTTTGAAGATTCTGGAAGTTATGCAAATGTAATAAGCAAACTGTACGATGGATAAAAGTATTTCTAACCTTCACATAAACATTACCTTGTACTTCGATTTGTCCGAGTTCGAGTCAGACTGACGCCATCAATCCACAGATATATCTTGAGTACAAATACTTTTGTAACATATCGGATTTTTTGTGTAAAACAAATTTGTACATTTTACTCAAAGCTTGCCCGTATTCCATGTAGATACACATTAGAAATTTGGAATTATAGTCAATATGGGGACGTGCACATTCAGTTAATTGACATTGTATTAGAAACTGCAGATCAGTATATATATAGTGCATGATGTTCTACTTATCCTTTAATCATCTTATTTAGCCAATATTTATATAGGTATCTAACGGATACATGACATTAACCCTATTAGATGATTCTCTAAATTAATCACTGGACAAGCTACTTAAGGTAATGTAATTATTTTTCTATCTTGACAAAAATTACAAATCTTGGCAGGAAAAAAATGTGACATCCAGCCCATCACTTGATTCCCTACTTGTCACTGAGTTAGAGCGATTTTCAGGAATTCTAATCCTCATTATTAACTAGGGTAAATCAAGAAAAACTAGCATAGTGTTGGTTTGTAAATTAGCAATATAGAGTTTGAGCTCTCTGAGGGTTACTGAATAAGGCTGGAATTCCCCTTAAATAATCTAACTGAAAGGCAAATGGTGAATGAATAACAAACTGGGCTTTATGTTTCTTTCTTGGTGAAAATTATAACTTTTGATCAAAAGAGAAAAAACAGTTTGTCTAATGAATAATTTGGAATATTTAAATCAGTAGAACAAGTGCTGTATATTCTTTAAATACTTATATAAGTATAGATTATGTATGGTAAGTAAGAGACAAGTTAAACACCATAGATATAATTTACAGATCATCAGTACAAGAGGCCCAGTGTTGATTTCCAACTTGTTATTGTATAGCATCACTGATATGGTTGTGAAATTCCCTGAAACTGGTCTAACTCAGTAACAAATGGCAAAGGAAAGTTACACACCTAGCACAAATAGATTTTGAGTAACAAGATAATTACAAGTCAATAAATGAACTAAAGTTTTACGTCTGTATAATTTTTAGACTCCAAGACACAATAGAATAATCCTATATGCTGAGCTAACACTTTTATTTAACACAACTAATTTATCACTGCATGAAACAACTAATGTATTCTTTCAAAAACTCTTCAAATGCAGTATGCAGTTTTATTGAGTTTTTTTCAATGCCAACATTTATAAATAAATATCTCCATACTAATTTCTTTAATCACGGTTTTGCTAGATGGTAGATAAAGACAGTTAAAATATTTTAAATTCATATGTGTTATACCCATATTTAAAAATCCACAAAAGTCAACCAACCTTGGGCTACCCGATTCATCATAATTTTTGAAAGCTTCAAAGAAATCAGTGTGAGCCTTTTCGTACTCCCCTTCTCGTAGATGCATCTTTCCACCACATTCTACATATAAAAGCACAGAAAGACCAGAAAATATTATTTTAGTATAGATATTGTTCTAAACACACATTAACCCTTTCCAGACTGGAGTGATTCACTGATATTCCTTGACTTTCTCCTTCTCACAGTAGATATACTTAATCAAACTGCATAGAACTCAGAACAAATTACTAAAGAGTATCTGCATAATTTTTTGATATAATTATCTTAAATTTTAGGCTTATTGGCTTCTAATGATTTGCCATTTAAAGTGTAACTTTTAAAGTATTACAAAGAGTTTGGGAAGTGAACAAAAGGCTTCTTGAACAGTGACCTGTGGGACACAAAAGATAGATCTGAAATGCTATTTTTACACATCTCTGATTTGGATCCAAAATGACCATATTAAAAGGAATATGAAAACAAATCTGCAGTTAAGATGATTTTGATCACAAGTTTTAGGCCGTTTGTTTCTTTGTTGAATCTTGAACAAAGCTAAACATGGGTTATCTGCTAGTTAACAACACCCATTGACAATTTTTTAAATCCTAGAATATACAAGAAAGCATGCAGAAATTTGGTAAGGGGTTCTTGCCTCTAAACTTCATTATAAGAAAGAGTAATCCTTTTAAAGAAATAACAAGAACTGTATCAGGAATAGTTTTCTGTTTTGATAGAAAAATTGTAACCTATGATCAATTGCATGATAATGGGGTGAAGACAAGAAGTCTTGCGATTAAATGTTACCTCGTATCACTAAATAATGAGCAAGTGAAGAAAGGAAGTTTTATCTCCAGTCATTCTGTAAGAAATGGTTAAAAACAAAACAAAAAAGTCTTACAATTATTTATTATCTCTAATAACTCCCAAAATGAAGAGGTGAGGACAAGAAGTCATAAAACTACATGTTACCTCTAATCACTCCTATAATTAAGGGGTGAGGACAAAGTCATAAAACTATATGTTACCTCTAATCACTCCCATAATTAAGGGGTGAGGACAAAGTCATAAAATTATGTTACCTCTAATCACTCCCATAATTAAGGGGTGAGGGAAGAAGTCATAAAACTATATGTTACCTCTAATCACTCCCATAATTAAGTGGTGAGGGAAGAAGTCATAAAACTATATGTTACCTCTAATCACTCCCATAATTAAGTGGTGAGGGAAGAAGTCATAAAACTATATGTTACCTCTAATCACTCACATAATGAGGGGGTGAGGAATGGCTAACTTGATGTGGAGGGACTGTTCATAGAGTTTCTGGTGACAAGAATATAAAAATATATGTTACCTCTAATCACTCCCATAATGAGTGGGTGAGGAATGGCTGACTTGATGTGGAGGGACTGTTCATAGAGTTTCTGGTGACAAGAATATAAAAATATATGTTAAAATTTTTTGAAATTAATTATTAATTTTTCTAACTCAAATTACAAAACTCATATTTTATTGTACTATATTTTCAAATCAAATGTACTTTATATGTAAATGTAAAAATTATCATATTAATTTTTGTCCTTAACAGTGCACACCTTTTTATATATATTAACCAAATAAAAGAAACTTAATAATAAATTATCTTTAATATAATATGGTAAAAGCAATATAATCAATAGGTGCTCCTAAGCCAAACCAAGTTAAGATTGGCAACATTTTCCTGAAAGGGGTGACAATTATTCTTATCAAATTTATTTTTTGTAAGGAAATAAAAAATAACATTTTGTTATTTTTAATAGCTACTATACCTAATTTTAAACTAGAAACAAAAGTTACTTTTTGTTTGTTTCTGATATAACCACTCTATTGTTGCTGTTGGCATCAATAGAGTGGTTACTAAAACTGAGCCCCCACTCCCAGTGAATCTATAGTTACTCAATACCTTAACAGTTTGAGAACTCCTACACTAAAAGATTCTGGTCAGTTGTTGACTAAAATAAACAGATGTTATCTCTATCTCTGCAATGCTGAAACCCTATACAGGCTCATCTCCATATATTTTCAGAGAGTTGAATAAATAAAGTTGTTTAAACATTTGTTTAACAAAAAATAAAAACTTGGAATGATATATTCTTTCATTGGGGGGTGTGCCAGACTAGTTTCGGAGAATTCCACTCCTCATCAGTGACCCTGGACACTACTACGAATGTTGTTAAACAATTGTTTAAACAACTTTATTTATTCAATTATGTACAAGCTGCCCAGTGTCAGTTAACAATATGAAGAATTAAATTGAGGCGGAATGCTACAAGTTCCATAAATACCTATAGAATGATAGGTTTCTTTTTTGTGAGTGTAAAACACTGAAATACACCAGTTCGATTTTTAGAGAGAATGTAAAAAAAAACTGCTTATAAAATAAAGCACCATAAGATAAAAAAAGTGTCTCTATATACATATGCATATTAAAAACATAGTGGTTTTCACTAATATGATGGAAAGCTATATATCTAATTCCATGTTATATCACATTATCTTGCACAACTATCTCCTTTAGATACCTGTATTTGTCACTATTTTTAGAGTATTTTAAAAACAAATAAAATAATCAATATATTACTACTACTACTCAGATTATTTTAAGAACCTTCTACTTTTTCTTGAAATGTGACAATTTCTACCTGCAGTGTTTACTCATTCCAAAATATATGTTTGACAAACAGGAAGCAATGAATGTTTTAATTTTAAGATATTTTAAACTCAATTCATATCAATAAAATTAGACAACTGTGCATTTATTAGTTCAATCCATCAGAGAATATCCTGAGAGATTTAGTTATAAATGTAGGTAGAAACATCACATCAGTATCAGGTTTGTAATGACTACAATTATAAGATTGTTAAAGTTATGTAAGATAATCTAATGTGATGTTATATTATATTAAAAAGTATCTTATATCAACTTATTTCATTTTTCTCCAGTCAGCATGTTTTAAAACATAAATTTTCTTTATGCTTTCCATCTGTCTATGCAGCAGTAAACCCAAACATCTTTTTAGCCTTGTTATGCAGTGTGATCTTCATCAAAATCATGTCAAAACACTTGGAGGAAATTTTACATTTTCCGAGTGTTTTCATATTCAAATAATTTTTTTCTGACGAACCTTATTTATTATAGTGAAGAATACAAGTTTTAAGTTTTAGCTGTTTTTGAACTTTAAGTTTTAAGTTAAAAGAACAAGTATGTAAATTACACCTCAACCTTCAAAAGTAAATCACTTGACTATTATGATCATCTAAAAATATAATTAACTGAACAGAAACAAATTACAGTATTAACATTTTCTTACACTGAAATGTATTTCTGATTGGTACTTACTGCTTCTGACACCAAGTTATTTCAATTTTTTTTCTGCCCTCTAAACATTGTTGAAACAATTTTCACACTCAGTGCACCAGTCTATATACCATACCAATTTTGTGTCACTATTGAACATTTACATAGCATGTGACTACTATCCACCAATATTATTGCACCACCTATGTAAGTGCAACTAGCTCCATCTGATATTCCAGCTCAATCCTCACTTTTGAGAATTGGCAGGATCTAAAAGAATAGCAACAGCAGTGGGGAGAAAGGGTGCAAAGTGTGTGAGAGGAGGTAAGTATGTATTGGAAATACAGTTTCAGTGTAAGAAAATGTTAACTTTCGATGCAGTCTTATCTTCTCTCACACAAAGTTAGAATCACACATTGCAAAGGTGTAGGGGCTGATGTAAATGCACAACATTTAAACCAAGTGGAAAGCGACCACCCAGAATGAACGGATATGCTCCGAGATGAACTGAAGCATACAGGTGGGATGATAGTGCACTACTCCTGGAACAGGTATGTCCTTCACCCTTGAAGAAGGAAATGAACATGATACAGGTGGAAAGAAGTAATTACAAGTGTAATTCATTCTGAGAGGTACAATCCATAGTGAAAAAAAAAACACTTTGTTCTCGGCAATCAAATAAAATGAATATAGAGTAACATAAACAACGTGGCTATGGCATGTGGACCATGTTACATATATACATGAATCCCAACCACAAGTAAACAGAATGTCATACATCAAGCAACCAGAATTATGAAGTTGGCATGCACCCAAAACTGGATAAACTTCCTAAACCACCACAGGAGCTGAAGTACAACAAAACACATTCGGCATTATGGGGCTGCACTGTTGCCTCAACTCAACTATAAGAACAAGGCAATAGCTGTAACTGGTATTAAGAGCAGAAATCTTAACTCACTCAACTGTAAATGCAGGGAAAAGACATCCTGCATCTGGAATTACAAGGAGGATATGGAGCATTTGCTCAACTGTAGTACATCCTGTTGCCAGTTTTACATGGCAGATGAAGTCCCCTAAACTCAACCACAGGAGCAGGAAAGGAACCACCTGCAACTGGAATTAATGAGAAGGGGCCTCTACTGCACACAACTGTAGGAACAGGGTGGTGTCATCCCTAACCCGGTATTATGAGGAGGATCCAATGTAGGCTAGTTCTGCTCCAGCTGACAACTATCCACCTGATGATAAGCATCCAGGAAAAATGAAAGGAGGGAAACCTGCTTTGCCCTCTTCCTGCTGAGTGGATATATGGTAAGTTAAAAGTCTACAATGCACTCAGGAGGAAACCTCCAGGATTCACTCCAGCTACTGGGATACGGTAAGAACTCCCTTGCTCCACTTGGAGAAAAAAAAGGGGAAGTAAGTAGGGTGGAGAGTCCAGAGGAACATCACGCTGAAAAAATTACAATGGATGCCCATGATTCCCTATTTTGAAAAGCAGACTGTTCGCAATTTATTCAATCAAGGAGTCGGTAGAGATGGGCAGAAATACCCTTCTGCTTTACTCATGAAAGTCCATAAGTGATGGTCCACTACTGAATAAAATTGATGGATATTGAAAAAAACATATGTATATACCACTGGGCAAGCTACCAGTGGTCTTGTGGAACACCCCATCTCTAGAGTAAGTGTTGTAGTGCTACCAGTAAATAGTGTGGGCTTACAGCAAAGCATATCTGACCAGGCAACACCTGCCACAGAGTGGGATCCCATAAGCAGTGGTAAAAAAGAGGGTCTCTAAAAAAGAAAACATAAATGAAAGGATGGGATAAGATTTACCCCAGTCAAAGGTAAACAGAAGTGTGTAGAATCGCCAAGGGAGGGAGATGATATCCACTTGAGATATCACAATGTGGTCAAAGGACCACAATGAGATCCCAATAGGCAATTCAAACGAACGTGGAGGATGCATGACCATAAAGTAATGGAAATGACAGGGGAAGACAAAACCTTATCAAACCTGGAGTAACAGAAGGTAAAGAAAGGAAGTCTGTTGTTCCAGTAGGTGGCAAAAGCAGCAATATGAGGAGTCCCCCAGCTGAGAGCACATCCACTAAAAATCCTGTGGATCAAAGGACCATTCCATGGGGAAAATTTTGTTGGGTTGATAAAAATGACCTGCAACCAGATTCAGGGTGCCAGGAATATAGCATGGAACCATAGCAAGACAGACCTGAATTTAGTGCCCCCTTGCTTGGTGATATAAGTGACCACTGTGGAGTTGTTGGAGTATACCATAACCACCCACCCCCACGGGAGTGGAAGGAAGTGGGATAAATCTCAACAAACCATCATAAGTTTGAGAATGTTGATATGGAGAGAAAACTCCTTAACTGACCAGAGACCAGAAATATCCCAAGAGCCGAGGTAAGCACTACAATCCTCTAAAGACGTGCCCATGAACAGATGTAAATCCAGACAAGATGGAGAAAGCAGAACTCCTGCCATGGTCTTGTCCTGTCTAGTTACCAAGCCAGAGGAAGGAATGAGAACATGGTAGTCCAAGGGATTCAAATAGAAGTTCCACTGATCGAGGAGTGCCCACTGAAGGGAACTCGTATGAGCTTGACCCATGGGAATGAGACCCTCCAAGGAAGCCCACATTCCCAAAAGATATAAAACCTTCTCGAGCTGTGAGAGAATGTGAGGTGAAGGCATTGTGGAATGTTTACTCCATATTCCAAAGACAAAGAGGAGAAGGCTGGGCCCAACTGAGGTTGGAATTGAAGAAAGCCTTCAAACGAACAAGGTATTGAGTGAGGGTAAGAACAGACTTCTCCATCTTTATCAGGAATCCCACTCATGCTGCTTCTTAGAGGAGAAGACAAGTGTGGTTTATGGACTGTGGATGGGAAGAAGCAAGCAGGAGCCAGTCATCCATGTAATAAGGAGTGCGAAGACCCAATGAATGAAGATGTTGGGAAAAAGTTCGCACCACATGACAAAACACATAAGGAGCCAAGGTGAGTCCAAAAGGCATGGCCTTGAACTGGAACACCCAACCCTTGTAGGTGAACCAAAGATAACGATGTAATTTACGTGCAATGGGAATGTGAAAATAGACATTCGTTATGTTGAATTTGGTCTTCTAGAGTCTCGGGATAAAACCCACTGAAGTGAGAGATAGGACTCCATATTAAAGCAAGGAGAGTCCAGAAAGGAATTCAATAGGAACAGATCTCCCATCTTCTTGGAGATCACAAAGAGCCAGGAATAAAACCCAAATTGTATATGGCACACCCGTTTGATAGCCTCTTTGCGAAGCAGGTTGTGGACAGCCTTAGTAAAATGACTGAGAGATGTAGGATCCCATGAGGTGGGAAGAGAATAGGGGAATGAGACTGAGGAGGATGAGATCGGAACTGAAGACAAAGCCTTTCTGACAGAACCTACAGATCTGTCATGAAATGCCACCACACAGCAGAAAAATGGAGCAATCTGGCCCCCCACCAGTCCGGAAACCTCTGCAGCATTACCCATAACCCTGGTGCAGAAATAAATAAAGATAGGGTTGGGAGCACCAGGAGGAACGCAAAGAAGAGGGAGGATGGAAAACAAGGACAGGCAACTCATAGGACGATGAGATAAATGTGTGGCCAGAGAAGACAAGAAAGAATTCAATCTAGCCACATCAATCCAGGATTCAAAGAAATCAGGACCACCCCCAAATATGGTATTGTGTAAGAAGGGACCTGATGCAGATACCACAGGTATGAATGGGGGAGATGCACCCCTGCAAATAATGCATCTCTCCCCAACATGTCCCAACAGCACATAAACCAGGTATTAAGAGAAAGGGCAGAAGCCAATAAATGAGCCATACTAGACAAAAGGAGGGACCAGAGCTCATTTGAAAAAAGTTCTGGGGAGCAACAAAAGGCCTCTGACAACAATTGGAGGAAAGACAAGTAACATAAAAGGAAGGACAGGGAAAATTAAATCCTTGAGAATTGAACCTGATTAAAATGAACAGTCATTCCTGGATTAGAACCCCAAAGGGGATGTAGAAGATCCAATTGTTGAGAATGCTAATATGGATCTGAAGAGCAATAGCATACCGAAACATGTTAGTCTAACAAGAGGAAGATGGGCATATCAACATCTGACTGAAGTTGTTCCAAAAACCTTAAGAATGAACACTAATGTTGGGTGAAGGGAGAAACATAAAATTCAAAAGAATTTCACCCAATAAGGAAGGGGAGGCATCAAAGGTGATAGGAAAAACATGTAAAATAATACATACCAGATTATCAGGTTGTAAAAAATGGGTGGAAGGTGAAACCTCCTGAAGAGGTGTAGATTGTGACTGACCAAAATAAGGTGCCAGAAAAAAAAGAGGTTTCAAATTGTCTTCTCCTTGATTGTATTCTTCCTCAGAAACATCAAGTTAAAAAGGAGAAGAAATCGCTGGCCAAACATATGAATCTAGTTCCCTGTGAATTAAGGCCTGTACCTCCTATGCAGATAAAGTCGAACCCAAGTCCTGGAAACTCGTACCAGTATCAATGTCGACAGTAACGGGAACTTCCATATTCAAGACATTGAACTTTGAATGCATACTAAGTTCACTTAGAATTCGGGAACAAAAAACAAATGCCAAAAAAAAAAATGTTAAAACAATTGAATGGAAACACAAAAGTTTAAAACTGTTGAACAAAAACAATTGTAGGTCTAAACAATGTAGCGCCAATCGAGAAAGTGAGGATTGAGCAGAGGGAGCTAGCTGCACCAATATAGGTGGTGCAGTAATATTGGTGGAGAGTAGTCACATGCTAAAAGTACATGTTCAAAAATTGGTGTAGTATATAGACTGATGCACTGAGCATGAAAATATTTTTATCAATGCTTGAAGGGCAGAAAGAAGATCATATAAGAATAATAAAATTAACTATCCTTTCAACAATACAACTGCAGTTGTTTTTCCATAAACTTCAAAAGGTTGTTTTAACTTAATAAAAACATGTGGGTTAATACCTGTTTCATGTGCAATCAAAAAGGACACCTATACCTAAGCATTTCAGATCTATTTTAAAAGTCAGACTAAAATGTATAAAAGGTTTACTTTCAGTGTTAAAATGTAAAATCATAAATATAAATTATAATTGTATATCTTTAATTGCAAATTACTAAATTAATGAAATTACACAAATAGACATTAGATTGAAGTGGTAGAAATGGACACTAATTTCTACCAGGGTAAGTTCATCATAGATGATCTGAGAACATAATTCACTGACCATATAAACTAAGAATATCAACATAAAACAGGATAAAATGTGAAGAAAAATAAAAGATCGGTGTTTCAGCCACAGGACCTTTTTATTGAACATAACTGACAAACGTTAGACTTAAACATTGAACTTTTTACCATTATAGTGATTTTCCTCATTTTTTTTAATAACATTAAGTTTTCACGAATATCAGACAATTATCTTATTTTGATAACATTTATCTAAACAAGAAATTTCCAAGAATTTTAACAACTCAGTAATTTCCAATATTGCTTATAATTCTTTTGGATAATGAATAGGTTCATCACAGATATTTTATAACTTGTGATAACTGAACAGAAATCTTTTAGTTCAAGATTTTGTGAAATAAGCAACTTTGGCTGAAATAACAAAGAGTAGGTAAATTCACAATGTTAGGAAAACACGTAGGTTGAAGAAATTAATTTAACTCAAAAACATTTTACCCTATAACCCCAGAAATTTCAAAACGTTCACCTTTCAAAAGCACTCAAAGATTAGGTAAATATATTAAGGAATTAATATGGAGTTTGTATACCTTCAGAAATTTTTTTTATTGGTCAACTATGGCCTATATATTTTATTAAACTGAAGAAGCAATAAATTCCCCTTCTTCCATTTTGGCCATAAAATCTGACTTATTCATTAAGGTTCTTACAGAATCAACAAATGGATATTTCTTTAACTTTTCATAAACATATATTGTTTAAATTCACTTCTTTTTTGTAAATCCATTTGTTTGAAAACTGATAAAAAAACATGCAGAAGTTGTGTTTAATGATGTGGTAATTCTAAGTCGTGTTCGATAACTACAAAATCAAAAATATTGTATGTATGTCAAAGGAGTTGATATTAATGATGTGACTCTTCTGAGTATAATTACCCGATAATGACCAAATAAATTCCTCTTCTACCATTTTGGCCATAAAATCTGAATTATGCATTAAGGTTCTTACAGAATCAACAAATGAGCATTTCTTTAACTTTCACATTTACTATACCTTTAGCTTCTTATTGTTTTTCTGAGCAGTGTACATTTGAATCTCTAAAGCATAAATCTCAAGAAGTTGAGTGCCTTTCTTCAAGTCATCAGATCCATCGTCTGTCTATTAAAATAGTGCAAAGAAACTAAAACATAGATTTGTTTACTTTCATACCACAATATTTTTATGTGAAATTTAACCACAAAACTCAGTCACATGTTAAATGTTCCCAGTAAATATATCTACCAGCTTTTAAGTAGAATTTACTACATACTTCTTAAAAAATAATTGTTTTCAGATAGAAAGCACAGGTTTGAGATGTTTACATCTTTCTGAAGAATGCCTTTCAAAATAAGATTTTGGAAAAAGAAAGTTTCATTTAGTTAGATGATGATGTTTTTTTGAGATATTTCATTTCATCCAATAAACATTGACAACAAGCTGAAGCGTGAAAGTATAAAACAGCAAACTACTCAAACCCATGATTTAACTAAGAAACAGTTTTTTTCAACAATTACCATCTTGGCAGCAACCTACTTAATAACAAAAATACTTTCAGCAAGAAAATAAAAAAAAGCCTATTCACAGCACATTTTCCATGTTATATATCCTTTATAGCAGAGTAATAATTAACAATAGCTAAATACTCATCTAAACTGTTTTTTACACCATACAGTGTTAAATGTTGAAGTAAGTTAATTAAGCACCATTTAACAAACCTTACAACTGCTCACTTTTTATAATTTTTTATCAACTTAAAGAAAGGTTTCAGTTACCAATATATGTTTTATATGTATTGTGCATTAGAACTGAGTGGTTAATTAAGTCAATTAATTAATTAAATATAAGAATAAATTACCTTGATTAGCATCTGGTAAAATAATCAATTCATCGAAATTACAATTAAACCCAATAAGCTCACAAAAATAATCAACTAATCAAAACTAGAGTTTTTCATTATTCCAACTATCCAAATCTCATGTGAAAATGGTTGAATGCAATCAATCAATGAGCTGAAAGATTAATTGATTAACATATTCAACTAATCACCTGGTTATAGTGGGCAGAGCATAAGTGTATATTTTAAGTTCAAAAGTTTACTTTCAATCTTTTGTACCATACAGGACATATGAGACCCAGTTTGACACATTCTCTACAATTTATAGAAAAATAAATTCATTTATCAAAAATGATTAATTACCTTAAACACAAGCCTTCAAGAGATTGTAATGTATAATAGTATGTTATTTTTAAAATCATAGTTTTACCAAAAAAAATTAATTTTCAGAGACATCATCTTAATTTTTTTCCTTTCATCCTGAAGTGAATACTATACCAATCAACAACACGTTCTACAGTAACTTACCCTGAAATTATTTAAACAGCAGCAGTTGGTGGAAAGGGAGGAGAGTATGAGATCCCAATGTAAAACAGTACTCTATAACTATTTGGATGCATGATGTGGAAACAGAATTCGACTTAGGCTTCTCAAGTCTCTAAATGACCTCAAAGTCTCTTTAATTTGAGACAATGTCTCCTTTCCTTAATATACAACAAGGGGGTTGATTGTATTAAAACAATTTTAAATATATATATACAAATGAACAAATCACATGGCAATCATAGCCAATATGAAAATCACACAAAATACCATCAACAGATTACACATTAATGCCATTAGGTGTTATATACTAAAATAATCAATATATTTATTCCAAATGACTGATATAAATAGCATTTAAGCCAAGATTGTCTATTGCATTCCCAGCCAACCTGATTAGGTGTAATCAATCAGGATTTTTCTCTCCACAGTATTGCTGCATTGAGTCAATATCCTAGCAAACAGCATTTAAGTATCTGTGAATGTACTTGAATCACTGTTTTAACCCAAAGTTACATACCTCAGAAGTTTGAATTGGCTGGTGTGAGTTAGATTAGGTGATTACATGTGTAGTGAGAGTGATCACTGATGTAGGTAATCTAGGATTGTGGGATACTGCACGAATGCCATGGTCTGACTAAAGTGTGATATCAACACAATTCTTTCTGTTATTATCCAGTGATGAATTCTTTTTTTCCCTTGCTTCAGCAGGCAGAGTTTGTATAACTCAGAATTGTTCAGAAACATTATATAGTTAAGTACTTTAACAAAAAGCCTACAGATTTTCAGTAGCATTTCTTGTTGCCAAAAATATGAAGACTGGATAACAGAAATGTTGTAGAAAAACTGACCACAAATGCAAACTTTCTCACTAAGAAAAGTTAGTCTGTAAATGTTTTAAGAATTAATTTTAAAAATCTTATGAAAGATCTACTATAGCAAAATAGGAAGTATATTGATGTAAGAGTTAATATTTTCGAAAAGAAACTACTGACACTCTAATAATTGAAAAATCCATTTTGTTTCTACAAGAAAGCAACAAGCTGTTTTTACTTGAAAAATGATTGAACTATAAAATGAAAGTGTTTCATCCTTATGGCTTATACACCAACATACAGAGGTTGAGTATGTTAATTAAAACAATTATGGAGCCTTTCACGACTGGTTCCTCTAAATCTGACACACATGCATCTTGATAATAGCCCTGCTGCACAGTTTCCATTGCAAAAGACTCTGTCATAAGGTTATGTCCACAAAAAAAAACTACTCCTTCCTCCATGCTTTCCATATTCCATTTAGTGTACAAGGAAGACCATTTCCACATGCCAGTTTCAACACTTCAATCAGATTCAAATTATTAGGCACTGCATCCAGCAACTTAACTTGTATGTCTTTGTATGGAATTGCATGAATACCCATTTTATTCTCCAGCTGTTTCAAGTATGCAATGGTTCAACAGATATATCATGGAAGCCACTTGTGTACACGGTCATGCACTAGCTTCCCAGATGGAGATGCTTTTTAATTATATTGCACACTTTGTATTTATGGATTCTCAACTGTTACTAGATGCCACACTTTACTTATCACGCTTGGGGTACAACTTGTTGCAGGTCTCTTTATGAAAGTTGATCCATATTACTTTCTTTTCTGATGAACATCCCCTTTTGCAGGTTCTAAATCCTCGACTTGAACACATTTATCTTCTAAATGTATGAATATTTGTGTCAGAATCGGATGTTACAAACAATTCTGAAAAGTAATAATTTTCAGTGGCATAACAGTACCAATGAAATATTTAACAATGTCAAAATTTAGTTCTAAAACATGTCATTCCACTGTAGCTTTATATTGGCTATGGTTTTCATGTGACTATCAGATTTATATATACTTCAAATTGTTTTAATATAATGTACTCACCCCTTTGTACATATGATGATCACAACATAATGGAAAACTTTAACCAAAGATGTTTAATTCATTTGTTGATCTAGATGAAACCAACCAATGGGTTGAGATCATAGTGCTCATAGAAGTTTCCCACACCTGCTCCACCACTCAGTTCAAATATTAACAGTGAAATCATAATCTGATATCAAACATCTTTTAAGCATATCTATCAAATGCTCATTTACAAATGTAGAATGAATGATCAATCATTTGTATTTCAAAACACATGACTGATCATAATATACCTGACTTGCATAAAAATTATCTGAGTAGTGTGACTGATATTATTTCATAACAGTGGTTTGTGAAAAAGTCAAAAATACTCTATACAGACATTCACAGCACAAGTAAGTTCTGAATCAGAAGTGATTTAGAATTTACAAAAAACAAAGTTACTGCTGTGTAATTTCTCCTTCATAAGATAACTAAGCACTCAAGATGAGTCACCAAACCATTCACATGTCATAATTAAAATATGCCTCAGGCTTACAGTAACTATACTGTAAATGACAAATGCTCAAATTAAATTTTAGAACCCTGGAAAGGCAAAAAAAAAGAATTGTTGTTCTTTATGATCTATAATATCAGGAACATCTCTAGTTACATCTCTTGTTGGTTATAACTTTATTTTCAAGGTTTTGTGCTATTTCATTTTCATTATAGTTCTACTACGTTTAAAAGCAACTATGAAGGTTGCTTCATTAAAGTAGAGGACAGAAGACCCTTTATTAACTTTGATACTTAACTATGCTGTGGGCATGATATCTGTATGTGTGCATAGAACTGCAGAACTTACAGAATATACAAACTTTCTCTGTATCCCTGCAAATTTGTATCCCAAAGTTTTCTAGAGGTTATATTATATATTTTGTAAATCACTATAGCTTGTCCTGTGACTACCATATATTTTCAGTAAGATAACATGCTTTCACGGAAGTTCTGAGATAAACCCCCGAGGAGTCTGTCATTCACTACTTTACTTCTGCAACTGTATATTGCTCTATTGCCATGTTAAACAAGATATTAAAAAAAAAGAAGGAACATGAGGGAATCCTTATTAGCTGTGGCACTTGAAATTCATTTAGGCAGGATTAGAATAAATTAATCTACGAGACCTTTTTCTCCCTTTTTATTAGCTATATTTTTGTGCCCCAGCAATACCAAGCATGAGGTGCATGTATACAGACCTGATTTGATTTTACTACTCATCAGGATCTCTACCAGCCTACCCCTCAAATTGAAATTCTATAAAGCAGGATTAGAGTAAATTAATCTGAGACCTTGGGCATGTTTAAATGCATCAATCAAAAGGGTTTGACCTCCTAAGTCCAAAAACTGTAATTAGGTCTCAAATCAGTCAAGAAATGATGGAGCTATAAGCTAAAAGCGTGTACTTGAAAAAAAAACTCGGAGCCATTCTATTAGCCATTAATTTTTGCAAGAAGTTTCCTTCCTTATCATCCCAGAAAAATTAAAACAGTAAATTTCAGAGACTTAAGGTTCAACTAAATAAGTTCTGAAAACTAGATACCCATAAAGTGTGTACTGTATTATTACATATCAAGACGATTAAACGTGAGAATCATAAATAACATGTTTTAATGGCTTTGAAACTAGGTAGCAAGAACCACAACATTGTAACAAAAGTGAAAAACATCTGCAGGGAATAAATACTGTTGCCACAGTGATGGTGTTAATGTACAAATTTCTCATGGGATTGATTTCTAAGAAAGACTAATAACTGACTAATCATTATGCATCTCTCTGCATTTTATGAAAGCAAGGCATGATACTGTAATTTCAAACAGCATGGATTAGAATATCAACTGTAGCATACAACTAACTATACGGCTTAAATGGCTGTAGTAAAACATCATATGCAGTGTACATATATTATTATGAATTATTATATTAATATAGAAAACAGATTTGAAAATACACAAAATTTTCCATGTACATAAAAACAAAACTTACTTGACAGGATTGATGCAACTGTTTTAATATTTTTGACAACTTTAAATACTCGCATCTGTCAAAATATAATTTCCCTAATTTTGTGTTAGTTTTAAACCACAACCTGTCATTTTTGGCATCTTTCAAAGCTTCTAATGTTGTTTCATAAAACTCCTGTAGTAATTCCATCTGAAAAAAAAAATTAATTGTAAATAAATGTTTTTACATATATGCAAGTTATCTGAACATAATCAATATCAACTTCATACCTCTGGATTCATGCTTTATTAGAAATTTTGTAAATTCCACAGTGATATTTTCTAAATGCTATGATTTCTGATCCATGTCAACTTGAAAAATTTTTATATATTCTGTCCAACTTGTCCATCATATTGTTTGCGTATAATAACCCAAAGTAATATATTATATATGCCATAGCAAAGCTCAGTAGCTTAATAATAAAAATAATGCAATGGGGTAAACTAGTACAAATTGTACCATTCTACCTCTGGTGATTTCAGGTATTAATTAGATGTATATTAGAAATTTTTAAGCTTGCTACAAATACAGTTAAAAATCTAAAAATACTTTATGTGTTGTAACTTGTACCTTCTTAAAAGGTTCATTTCTGAAGAACATTAGAACAAGCAAGGAGACAGAGAGTCATACTGCATACTAAGGCTACTTTCTGATAAAAATATCAGAAAATTAATTGGATTACTCATACATCATGTGCCAGTTAATCAATAAAAGTAGTATACCTTGTAAACCACAATTATTTATTATTATACATATTATTATATATATATACATACACTATATGAGATGGGACCAAATTAATTTGTTCCATGAATAATTACAACAAAATGAATATTAAATGATGAGACTAAAAAAAGGAATTTTTACTTTCTAATTTTCAAAAAGCTAATTTTGAGATTATGGGAGAAGATTTATCATTAGTGAATTAAGGTAATGAGTTAAAAGCGATATAGAACATTTTAAAAATAAACTGATTTTAATTCGAGACAGGAATGTTCCTAAAAAAAGGAAAAGAAAAACAGGGAAGATCAAACTTAATTGGTTAACTATGTATATAAGTAAGAAAAGGTGGTATAAATAGAATAAGTTTAAGTTCAAATTTAAAAATCTAAAAGAGTTTACGAGAAACAGCCAGCTCATAATGTTAAAAAACAACAGTAAGGATTTTTCTAAATATAATAAAGATAAACTGAATTGAGGATTGGGCCCTTAAAGGATATGGAAGACAAAGTTGAGATAGCTGAGTTTTAAATATTTTCTTCTTTTCTGTTCTTACAAGAGAAAATATTAGCAATACAGTACTGCCTCATTATAATACCATCAGTTATAATGCTGTGTTGCTTTGGCTCCCAAAAATTTAGTTATCATCTGCTGCTTATCTCATTGTCACGTGGCTTCAGAGGATGAAGTCATTACACTCTGTCATGAAATAAAGGAAAAAGTGGGAAGTCCTGAGTGCAAAGCCCAGAGATGTGAATATTAAGTTCAGATGTGAACTTGTTATTGGCAATTAAGGTAAGAAAGGAATTCGGACATGTGACTCGACTGTTGAAATAGTAAGAAAGTGTCATCGATATAGCATTTGTAAACGACAGGCTCAAAGTCACATGGGCTGTTTTCTAGCCATTTGCATTCATGGTAGCATAGAAAACTATTGGCTATCATTGGACCCAGTGAGAATTCCATCTATCTAGTCATAAATGATGTCATTAAAGAGGAAATGGTTTAATTAATTGGTATAATACTCCCCCATCTATATCGCTCTCAGGTTGCACATGACTCTGAATGGTAGCATTATAATGAGGCAGTACTGTATTACTTACCCTGGGCATTCTATAGGAATACTGAATTTGATCTGAATTATATATATACTATTGCCTTGGTGGTACACATAAAGGTTGAGAGATTAAAGACACATGTAGAAAAGGCACCAAAACCACACTCTTTTTCATTTTTGGTATGTCAATACACAATGGACAGATGAGATAAGAGTTACTCTGGAAATTACGGACCAATTAGTCTTACTTTTTTAGGAGGAAAAATTCACAAGAGTTTGACAAAAGAAGTTTTGCAAAACATAAGATTATAAAAAACAACAACATAGATTCACCAAAGGGAAATATTGTCTTACTAATCTGTTAATATTTTTTAATTATGTTACTTGTTATCTCTATGATGAATGGGAGTGGACTTCATGTAGATAGATTTCAAAAATCTTATGATAAGGTGCTACACTGAAGGTTACCCATTATGGATTGTGGAAATATTAGTTAATTGGATTGAACCCTCATGGGGAGAGAGGCTGTCTCACAGTTTATTGCCTGATTATTGTCTTATTGATTCCTTATCATTTGCTTTTCCTAGCTATACCATACAGTACTTTCTTTACCAGCAGTCACATGTCTTCTGCAGCTTTGGAAATCCTGCTCATCATTACCACCATCATCATCAGCAGTGTAACCACTCACAGCATAAAAACTGGCTACTGCCAACTCTGGCACCAATGTTATTGGCAGGCAGGAAATTTGAGATGAATGAGACCTCCACCTGAACAGAAGTTCAGCCACTGCTGCCCAAAAGACATGACAATGGCAGCCAAGGGCTGATCAACAAACAATCTCCAATTATAATTATTACTGTATGGTTGACCTTACATAAGATTTCAGCACTAAAGTGGCATTTTCACGAGATAGCCATAAGTGGACTGAGGCCTGGGACTTGTACAACTGCGAGGAGAAGCAGTTTTGTTGGAATGACACTCTGCCCTCTCAACTGGAGAAAGAAGTTATCAGCTATGGAGCTGTTGCAGATAAGAAAAGCCTATGCCAAGGCCAGTCACTGTTCAACTGTCACTTTTGAGGGTCTGCTGATGAAGTTGAGGTGAGGGGAGTTGGACATTGTGCTTGCTGTTGGGTAAGTGCATGTTTTATATATTTTTTTAAATGTAAATGAAAGTGTTGTAAACATACATTTATCTCTGCATTTTGTCTGTTTTATTCTATCCATGTCCATCATTTTTCGCCAAATTCATGTATTTCTTATTTATAAAAATTTATGTAAATGGATTTATTTCAGTCGGTTAAGGGTAGATATTGATATAAGTGTACACATTTTAAAGATTCCAGTGATATTTCTTCTCTTTTGTATGTCATTCTTAAAGTGCTTATTTATACCGTTATTCATCACAATATTTTGCTGTCACTTACACTAGATGCTGAACCTAACTAAGCATACTTGATATATCTTTCAAACAGATAGTTTACCACAAAAATTTCCAGATCTGTGATTTGTTGCTAACTTTTCATATTAGATTCTCCTCTGCAGGAGCTACAAGCAGCTTATATCAAGAAACCACAAATTGCTTTACATTGTTACAGATAAATTATAATCTCTTCTAGCCACCCAGATGAGAGTCCTAAGTAAGCTCTTAAAAGATTGGATGAGACCAATAGTTATATTGAGATGTTGACAGAAGTGGAACTCCTATTTATGATCCACTTTTAGTAGCAACATAGATCGTACCTGATGATGACAAAACCTTGTTGAAACGTTGTACATTTGCTGTTATGTTAAACTTATATTAAAGTTTTTCTTCATTACCCGTTCATGCTGTCTCCAACCATTATTAGTCAAATTTGAATAGATCAAAGTGTGCTATAACAGACAACATACTCCCTAAGAACATATTCAAATGTTAAATGGTACTTTCTTGTGTATTCCATTCTGGAGACTAGGAATGCTAATGGTGCCAATCGTCAAGAGGTGGAATGCCATTCCAGATCATTCTGCTTTTAACTGAACCTCTGTACGATCTTGTAAGAATCTAAAAACACAACATCCTGTGATTCATGATACAGAATCCCATTTGATACCTTAAAAAGGATCCTACTGAAAGTAATACCTGACCTGAATCATTCATTATGCACAAGATCTTGACAGATTCCCAATTCCTATGGCAAGCTCTTGTTACTAATAGAGTAACTTCCTGAAATAAGGGTTTACAGGATCTTAATTGTTTTTGGGCTTATAGAGTCATAAAAGTCTATCAAAACATTGTGTCTACTATAAGACATTCCAATAATTGAAACAAATTTAATAAACCAAAAGTCGCAGTGCCACCAAGCCATGTGACTCCAAGAGATTCAGATTGAGATTTTATTTAACCTTATGTGTAAGGGAGAGTCAAGGTGTATAAGTCACAATCTTTTTACCATTACATTCAAGATTTAATTAAACAACAATAAATGTATTTCAATAGACCTGGCACCAAAATGTAGTTTATAGTTCAAAGTTTTAATTTTTTAATTTCAAAAGGAAATATTTACACTAATTCTTAATTTTCACTTCTCTTTATTATATGATGCATCTGGACTCTATATTGCTCATTTTAGATTTTCTCTCTACCCTGAGTACCTCAACAATAACACACTTAGGCTATAGACATTTGTAAGTCAGAAGATAAATTTCTGGCTTCCAAACTTCTTGCTTCACTAATACATGAAAAAAGAATCAAACCTAAATGCTAAGATCCTCCTATCTCATCCTGTCTTTCAATAAATGTCAATAACCCTCCCTGACAGTTGCTATTGAATTATTTATAATCCACAGAAAGAGCAGATTGTTCTTTACAAGATTCATTAGGAGGCTAATTTATTTTGGCATTGTAATGAGATATATAGCTTAAATTTAATTTTTTATTATCATTTTTTTTTGCTTCAAGCAGAAAAATAAATTTTTTAGTCTTAGTTAGAAAGCCAGTTAAGTTATGAGACTCTATTTTGTTGCCTTATATATGTTTGAATTTTTACTGTACTAACTAACTTAGTGAAAAAAGGGAGGCCTATTTTATACTCACAAAAATCATGTGAAACAAATGCTTCACTCATGATGCTTATGACCTATGGCTAATTACCTCCAACTGTGTTTATTATTTTGGAGGAGAGGATTAGTGCTGAAATAATTACTAAGTACAAGAATAAAAACGAATTTAAGGAAAACAGAAGTAAAAAGATTACCAGTAGAAACTGTGAAGAACTACATGAAATAAAGGTTAACAGTAGAAATTGTGAAAAACTACAAGAAATAAAGGTTAACAGTAGAAACTTTGAAGAACTACAAGAAATAAAGGTTAACAGTACAAACTTTCAAATAAAGGTTAACACTACAAACTTTGAAAAACTACATGAAATAAAGGTTTTATGCCAATAATTTTATGGGTCAAACTGAAAGCCAGCTTTTACAGCTAAGCCCTGTAAAACTTCAATCATACATAGAAACATTACACAGATGTCATATTTTTCATTTGGACAGCCAGTTCTGAATCAGTTAAATAATTTATCTCATATGCAAACACCTTTCACAAAACAATCAAGTTTACCTTTAATTACTCTCCTGCCCAAATTAACTTTCTTGACGTTACTGTCTTTTTAAAGGATGGAATTTTACACACTGACTTGTACAAAAACCTATAGACAGTCCACAGTATTTTCACTATAAAAAACTATCACCCCACTCACACTAAATGGAACATTACCAACAGTCAAATTCTTAGAATAAAGAAATTCTGTTCAGTTGAAACAGATTACAGAAAATATGCCAAGGATGTAAAACAAACCATGTTACAAATAGGATATAAAGATACTGAAATTGACAGACAGATTGAAAAAGTTAACAACACTCAGCAGGAAATAATCTTAAAGCAGAGTAATATTAAAGTTTCAAATAGAATTCCTCGTTATTACTTTAAACTAAGAAACATTTCGCACATTCTGAGAAAACATTTTCATCTCCTAGAACTGAATGATCAACTTAAACAGATATTTCCTGAAGTTCCTGTTGTCTCTTTCTAGAAAAGCAGAAGTCTAAAAGATATCCTTGTTCATGCAAAAGTGGATTACACCCTATCAAAGAATGGTTGTCATTCATACAGTAAAGCTCATCGTCTTCTATTAACACCGAAAAAAAATCTCCCTGTTGCTCAATACTTCAACCAACATAGTCATTCTATTAACAATGTTACTCTCATCAGCATTGAAACCAACTTTAAAGCTGACAGAGAGATAAAAAAAGCTTATTGGATTGTTAGTCCAACTACTGTTCAACCTTGTGAAATAAATCTAGATCCTGGAATCAGCAATCTCCGATCATTGGTTTGTTCTCTCTCAGAAAAATGTTGTTGTTTTTTCACGTAGTGTTAACTCTCATTGTTTACCCCTAATCTATCTAATACTAGTTATTTATGATAATTTTCTATGTCTGTCTTTAGAAATTGATCTGCTTAACATCTCTTTCAGTTAATCTCCATGTGTCACCTTTATTTTACTTTAACAACACTTAAGTAACGTTTTCTTGACCATTTCTGAAGCAAAACAACTCTAACACCTTCTTACATAATGCTCTCATTTCTGGTGCAACAAGGCCACTTACAACATTACATTGAAAAATATATAAAAACAGTTCTCGGAAGCCCATGTGACCTTCATGATGTCACTTAACTCCCTTTTCAATTTCTCCATGAAGGAGAAAGATTCACCTTCTGAAAGTGATTTGGGCTATAGGGTTTTATCGCTTGATATATAATGCAAGTACTTTTAGTAGGTTTTACTTGCAATGTTTGCATTGAATGTATCTTAAGAATTAAAAAACAGTTGACATAAAACAAAAGGTCACAAATGTGTAAGCCATTCACTCGGAGAACATAAGCACATTCCACTCTTATCACATGGGCACATATTGAGTGTATAGGTAACCAGGACATTTACCTTATGGTCAGACTTTCTATCATGAAGATACAGAGAAAAAATATAAAATAACTGGGAAAGATCGAAACTGTATCCTATTCTGTCAGTGAGATTAATGACAACCCATTAACATTTGGTTTGTAATGAGTAATTTATGTTGGTCCTTTCATACAGCTCTCACTTTATGTCTTCATACACAAGAAAATTTTCACTTATAAACCCTTACATGATTAAAATGAAGGTACTTTCTTAGATTTTTGAAAGTTTAAAAACATCTCAAATTCAGAAAATATTCAAAGTAATATTTATATTTTACCTGAATTAGCATAAACAGTACTGACCAATGACAACTCTTGTTTAAAAAATATAGCATGCACAATAAAACATTGTACTGTACCTGTTTTGAGGTTGAAATGTAATCTAGAATTGAGTTGATAGACTTTTCAGAATAATTTCTAGTGACAGCACTCTTGATGTAAGTTAAAAGCTGTTTGTATCGCATCATCATCTCATTGTAGTTGCACTGCAAAAAAGATTCCATATTTGTATTTGAAAAACTACAGAACTTTATACAAGATATACATGTTTAAGAGATTATAACAAAAATTACAAAGATACTAGAAATATGCATTTGTTTATCAAAATATTACTTTTTAAAACCAAGCTTCTCTAAAAAACAACATTCATGGCATCATTATGTAAGTTTTATGTTTTGTCAGTCAAGTACATGTTAATTTTCAGATTGTAATATAGCTTTATTTGACTAATGAAGTTCAAAACTGCTGTTGTGTCTAACCTATTACACATGTATAGTTTTATTGCTTTCCACTACATAATGTACGAGTGATTAAAAGGACAGAAAATTACTAGTGCATGTCTTTCTATTTATTCAAATTGTAAAAATGTGCTAACTTTTAGTAAATGTATTAGCATTTGCTTGTCCAAAATTATATTGATGTATTTTGGACTTCATAATAAAACTGATGATGTTGTCATCACACTTTTACATTTATATTCACATAGCAGAAAAATGTTAAAAACATGCAAGTGCTACCTTACAGTACCTAAAATATACAGAAGCATTATAAAAGTCAAGTTTAAACCCCTATTAGAAAAACAAAGTTCTAGATGTTTTTGCCTAGAGACTTATTATGTTAAAGCAAATATCATAAGTTAGAAACTTTCATTTTAAAAAAAAATTCTATCTTTTTTTACAAATCACTAGTTAGGTCTCACTTGGAATACTGTGCATAATTTTTATCTCATTGTCTTAGAAAGGATATTGAATTATTGGAAGGGGTTCAGAGGAAAGCTAACAAGATGATTTTGGGAATTGAAGGGTTATCTAATAGGGATAAGTTAAGGTGACTTAATTCATTTTCTCTTGCAAGAAGAATGGTGAGATGTAACCATACTGAAGCTTATCCAGGGTATCAGTATAATAAATGCCTGTGATCCCTATGTGCTGTATCCTGAAACAAGGTCACAATATTAGGATTTGGAGAATACACGGCAGTTAAGACAGTTTTATTTTTCTAACAGGGTAATTGGTTTATGAAATCAGTTGCCATCAGCAGTAGTGGATGCCAGCACTTTAGATGAGTTTAACAGGGGAATATCAATTTCCTATAAAGTAGAGGATGGATTTAAACTTATACTTTTATTAAGGGAGTGTGTGCAGGGGCAGCCTTGAAGGACCAAAGAGTCCCCTGTAGTCTTACGTTATGTTAAAGTGTTGATATTTATAAACAGAAAGAAAATTGAAACATGGTGTCTGTACTAAATTTATTCTAACATATGTAACAAGAAATACTTAAGAACAAGTTCAGATTTTTGAAAAAAAAAATTAAAAAACACATTTTGTGTTAAACAAAGAAAATAAAAGTATCTGACGTACCAATATTATTAATGAGCAGATTAATAAATATAGCAGACTACTCAAAATATCTGCATTCAAACATAAAATTAGTTAAAATGCCACTTTTAATTATTACCATATAGAAAATAGCACATGGTTATCTAATTTTAACTCTCTGTGGTAATTTACAGGTTGCTCATAAAACACTTGAGCACTTAATATCATGGCAAGTGTTGGGGATCAGTAAATTAAATGCAGACTTAATACTTAAATATAAAGTTAATACTTTGAAAATATATGTTCATAAAAAATACTTCAAATGAAATTTTGAGATTCTAATATGAGCAAACAAATTAAAGTTGAGTCCAACAGAAAATTTGAAAGGTTGACATAAACTATCTTTGTCACTAGAAAGTCCTATAAATCAGGTCTATAAACAAAGTGACAAACTGCATGCTACCAGTAGAGCTGGATGATCAGTGAGATTTAATAATCAATTAATTGCTTGGCTAATTAATTGATTACATTTAACAAATCAATTATTCTCACATCAAATGGCTGTAGAAAAGAGAGTAAAAGAAAGGAGTAAAACTTTTGGTAGAATGTTGTTTAATATGTCCCTCAGGAGCCAAGGGGTGTCTTTACACTACAATTTGTTGAATATGAAAAGTAAGTTCAATCCAGAAACCCCAAATAGGGTGGTTTTGGGCATATCTTTTTGAGACAACCTCGAGACAAGTTTTTGTTTGTTAATTGAAAGTGAAATACAACATCCTCAAGTCTCCATACTAGCTAGTACTAAGGTCTACCCGCTGGGAGTAAATTCAGTATATATCAATAAAGCCACATTCTCAGCATCATTAACAAAGTAATTGTCAACCTTTTATGCTTCTGTTATCATCTTTTTTATGTTTAGCTTTCAACTGAGATATGAACGATTTCACCTGCAAATTGGTAGGGAGGGTCAAAGCATCACAATAGTCAGCAGTAAGATAAGCAGACAGGAACACTTTGAAAGCAGCTAGAGGCATTATATTGTACTTGGCTTCCTGCACAACATCTACCAAAGTGGTTCTAAATGGTTCCTGAATACCTCTGCGTGCCATTTGGAGACTTCCATGTTTCTTATGCTTGGCCATTAAGTTTGTGATGCACTGACGGATTTCAGTTACCTTACCACGTCAAATCACTTTTTGCAGCCCCAACGCTAAAAAAGTGCGGGAAATGCCTTCTTTTTAGACAATAAACATGTTCAAAAAATTTGAGTTCAAATTAAGAAAAACCAGATTGGGTAGTTGTTTTTTTCAACAAAAATGTCTCACAATGGCTCTTGAGGGGTCCATTAAAATATAACCTCAAAATGTACTATTTGTCAAAAAGTTAATGTTGAGATGACCCCACAATCACCGATTGTTTGCTTTTAAAACATACAGTAATACCCCTTGATTTGTGTAAATCAAATAAACTGATAATGTTTTACTATCACTGATAATAGTAATAATGTTTTTAATTAAAATATATCATGAATGCAATTAAGAATCATTAATTAGCCAGTTAACCAATTTGTTTATGTACATTGTTTGAGTATCATAAATATAAGAATAATATTCAATAAGAATATTTCATCATACTTACTAAAGCTTACCTCATAACTTCTCATCTAAGAAAATTTCTGTATCATTAACATAGATATAATTTAAAACAAAAACACTTTCATTTGAACTAGAAACTTTCCCATAAAATCATAAACTACTCCTCAAACCACTATACTTACTCTACCATGATGTGAAAAGTCAATTTCTTGCTCTATCCAATCATATTTCAAATTTATTTATAGCGTTTTTTCAAAGCTGTGTTTCATTAATAAATGATCAAACCACTTGATGTGACATCATACAATCGGTAGAAATCAAAGTATGTACAAAACTAAGCAGAAAAAAGGTGATATGTTAGGTTAGGTTGTTCTTTGGGATGGGTAAAAAATTCTAAGAAAAATTTACAAGTGTGTTGTTTACATATGAAATTCCTTGGAGCTGTGCATAAATGTAAACCTGATCTTTCCCCCATTCTTCTTCATGAATCCCACTAAGCAGATGTTACAAAATGCTAAAATATCAATTCTAAAATATTTTTGAGTTAAAATTATTAAAATACAGTTAGAATTAACATAAAAATTTGTGGCAAAAAAGTAAGAAAGTCAGGGGAAATGCTGTCTTTAGATACAATAATTTAGTATCAAGTTACTTTGATAATCTTCAACTGTGTGCATGAAAATGTATTATACACAGAAAGAAGTATCATGGGTTTCTCCCTACAAATTTTCACAAGACTACTGCACTAAAACTGCTGAATTTCTGTTGATGAAAATAAACATATTACTTGAAGATATTTTTAAACAACTTTTTATATTACGTTAATAAACTTTATTGCATTAAATATAACCTCTTATACTAAAGATTTTAAAAAGTACCACTAGTTTCTGCCATAAACTTATATCAGGTGTCAATTAATTAACTACTACTTTCATTGTTGGAAGGAAAAATTGTTTTTCAAAACAAGTTCAAGAATACATGAAATTTGGCTAACAATATTGATGTACATAGAAAAAATAAACACTATTTTAAACAGTTTCCAACATATAAAAAACTCATTAATTGTAAAACCTATCTGGCAATTAATATATATATATATATTCTTTTACATTTGAAAACTGTTTAAAATACTTCATCTAGCAGGATTTTATTTTTTCTATGGACATAAGTATTGTAAGTGTATAAAGAATACTCTTCATAAGTGCTTGTCACATGATCAGAAGGTTGGAGATTCAGACTTGCCAGTTCCTTAACAACTTCCATCAGAACACAAGTTCAGAAAAAGTAACAGGTACACAATGTATAAACACTAAAGAATAAAGTTATTCAAATTATACATTATGCTATAACACAATGTAAAAACAGGTTTTACACCTTATTCAGCATTAAAGAATGCATATATGCAATTATAGATCAAAAACATAACACAATGTAAAAAAAACAATAAATGGATTAATGAAGGAAAGATAAAAATAAACATAAAAGGAAAAAACATTTTTAGCTATCAACCTTCTTCAGAGAACTTTTTAACCTGTTTAAAGGAAGCAAATGTTCCTTTTATTCCCTACCTTCCTTACTTTCCTAAAACAACTTTCTAGTTTTCAAAAACTTAGGTTTTTTTACATGTATGCAAACAATTAGTAGAAACAGACATCAACACTGTAATAAATGTATGATTTACCATTTTGAAGTTAATTTTTATCATCTGTTTTAAAGCTTTGAAACCCCACTCTCCTTTGTCACCTCCTTCCAAATCCAGAACCTAGAATATAAGTGTTTAATAAGGAAAATACACTCACAGACAGGATATGAAAACAGACATTTATATACCTTATGTATTCATTGTTATGTTCTCAAAAACAGTTTAGCTGCATTTAATGTTAAACAAATACACCAACTTTTAAAGCTTAAAAGATAAGACTCCCCAAAATTTTCAACATGTATAAATTAGCTTTTATTTCTAAACACACAATTGCATTTCAACACTTATAATAAATAATATTTTAAGAGTCACATTTGTCAAAATGTTCAGAATTTGCTTTATGTATGTCTAAAATGTACCTCTAGACACCACACACCTATAAATAACAATATAACTCTATGCACATACAGAAGTTTTATAATTTATCTTGCACGACTTTCCAAAATCTAAAATAAACCAAACCTTTTGAAAACTTGACAGAGCAGTTTTAGGTTCATCCTCCTTTAAAGCTTTAGAATTATAGTACTGATTCTCCAAGTCCACATCAGGCTCTGAATTACTATCTTCTGAATATTCCTACAAACAAGTGTTATGATAATACAAACTGTGCTTGATATTAAACTTTTGCCATAATTTTCCAGAATCAAAATTACTAATTTTCATGTGTTATAATAAAGCAGTTAACTAAGAAAATTATATATTTTTTTCATTTTTATTTAATAAGCACTAAAAACATCCAGTAGTTCTTACAACTATGAAACAATTTGTTTTGTATTTTGACATTAAGAATATATATATATATATATATATATTAATAATTTACTGGTATAAACATTACGATAAATATTAGTTGTTTTTTTACTTTTAATATTTCTATTAGTGTCATAAGGTAATGCTAGCACAAGGCCTTATATATATAAAACCAAACTTGTCTACTACCTGTTAATCACTTTCTACATCACTATATAATGAAGCTTGTTTATAATCATAGCAACAATATTTTATTTTTTGAATTACTTAACTGAAAACAGAATGTAATTAATCTAAGTCATATTTTAAACAAAGAATGAAAATGTACCTATTTACTACAAATCCTTCAAAAGTTGATATACTGTAACATTTGTACCTGAGAATGACTGCATTACATGTATGTACAGATCAGCAGTTTGTGTGATATTATCATATCTCATAAGGCTGATCATAACTTAAATCACATCTTTCTTTACTAGCCCTAGAATTTTCTTTATACATCAATGGAATTAGTGATGATATTATTGATAGTGAATGTATTAATAACAGTTCTCTCTTTAGTAATAATGAAGTATTTGTTTAAATGCTCTTTAATGCATTTCAGACCATTACCCATTAGAATTGTTAAATTCTTAGCTGTAGTTGTTTTTATCACCAACAATAAACCAGTACTTGTATGGTATTTTATGTAAGTTGGGAATTCAGAATAATTTAGGTATTACAGTATAAGATTTAATAGAATGTACACCAAGATCTGATAAAACTGTAATGTGTTTCTGTATAATAATTTCTATTCTGGTTTTAAGGTGTTTATGTTATACATCTCCTTACCAAAGGCTTTAATATTTGAAAACTAAACCTTGCAGTAGTTCTTTACATAGATTGTAATATAAAATTTGTTATAGATTAAAACAATTAGTAATTTATTTATCGGCAGGAGGGATGACATACCTCATGCGTAACTAATCTAAAAATTCAGTAATTTCTTTCCTACTTATAACATGTTCATTGTTGTTAATAGTGAATTTCTTTAAGTGGAATATGGGTTAAACCTGTGGTACATCTTCTGGTTCATTAGCTGGCAAGCTGGGTTCAAAATCGTATGATGCATCAAAATATTCCCCACACTTTAAGCTGTCAATGCATTATAAGTAACACTACCAGTCAATCCCTTAACATGGATGGTGGAATCAGGGGCAGTGATAAATTAGTTTTTGTTTTTGTTTTTGAATTTTGCGCAAAGCTACACAAGGGCTATCTGCGCTAGCTGTCCCTAATTTAGCAGTGTAAGACTAGAGGGAAGGCAGCTAGTTATCACCACCCACCGCCAACTCTTGGGCTACTCTTTTACCAACGAATAGTGGGATTGACCGTCACATTATAACGCCCCCACGGCTGAAAGGGCGAGCATGTTTCGTGTGACGGAGATTTGAACCAGCGACCCTCAGATTGCGAGTCGAGTGCCTTAACCACCTGGCCATGCCGGGCCGTCAGTGATAAATAGTGTTAGTAGTTAGTAGCTTTGCTATAAATACAAAAAAATTTTAAGTTTTGCATTTATGGATTATGTCTTTAAGTTTAAGTTTAACTATGTTTACCAATTTTCTAAATGGCATTAGTTTTTCTCAATTTTAATACACTTATGTAAAACTTTACTGTGTGACTTACTAATTACTTGTTTAGGGTACTTATAATTAATTATACTTATACTTTATAGCCTATTCCCGGAATTCAGGATCTTTGTTCATGATGTTAAGCCTACAGTACATATACAACAGTACAAGTCAACTCTAACCTACGAGTTTCAAACTAACTTACTAAATGACATTTATTATTTAATGAATATTAATATACAGTACTACTGCTAGTTAATACAACAGAAAACATATTTCATTTTATATATTATTAGGCCTGATAATTCTTTTGACTTAATGCCAGTACAATAATATATGATATTAACTTCTTACTAATACTACACCGTTACTAACGACTAATGTTGTGTTTGTTAGAAAAAATCTACATAAACTATATTATTATAGTACAATAATATAACAGCAGTATGACAATAATGTCATAAGTACTTTTCAGACTTACTAAGTCATAGTCTTCTTCATCGTCACACATAAAATCATCTTCCGCGTCGGACATTTTTTGAAAATAAAACTATAGCAGAACCACAAAATACTAAAAACCTAATTCTTCAAATTTGGTATTAAAACTACATGTACAACTTCAAGTAATCTCTCGCATCTTTTACGACGCCGTCTATTGGGTAATGTTAGTTGATATATTATAACATATTCTCCTTTGCTTTCACTCTTGGATTCTTAGAATTATATATTATACACATTTGTATTAAATTTTCAAATATCTGTAAATTCCCCTTTAAAAAGTTTATAAGTTATATAAATTATTAAAGTAAATACATTACTTTAGTTTATCACTGAAATAATATGGAGTGAAATTCTAAACAAAAAACCCGGTACTCATATGTGTATACAAAAGATGTTGCTCGTATAGGTAATTTATAACATAATTTACTAAACAAATAGAAAATACATGCAATCATTCTTTTGATTTTTTAAAGAAATGAATACATATAATAACATACAAGTAAATTGAAAATTTCATAATATTTAATTTACCCCAAATATCGCTTTTTTTTTGTTATTTTTATTGCTTCCGGTTCTGTTGAATGACATAAATACATTATACACCTCAATATCAAAAGCATTTATTGAATGAGATAAAGGCTTTCGAAAATTGCAATTATTAGATGAAAACAGGACAAAGTAAGATTATTGCGAGTGTAGTTAAACAACCTTTTTAATTCTTATGTGAGCGTTATGAGACTGTATTATTGCTTGAGCATTGCCAACAGTGATTTCAAAATTTATGTAGGTTCACATTAGAGAAGGTGGCATCAGAAAATGCTGCTGCCTTTTTAAGGGGTTATAGTTTGATATGATGAGCATTGACAACGTGTTATTCATGCTTATATACAAGTTTTCAGCTGAACGACTGATACCGCTATATAAACTCATTTGATTAGAGTAGGCATTGCAGAAAATTAACAACGGGCAAGTAAGAGAAACCATTAATCAAAATAAAGAATTTGAAATGAATTAAAATTTCTATCATATTTCATTATTAGTAATAATAAAATAGGAGAGTTTTTTTTTAATTCTCCTAGTATTAGTGATAAATTTGAACTAATAACTAACTGATAATAACTAATAACTCACTACCTGTTGACTATTGGTGGAGTTTTTAAGTCGTTTTAACTCATCATTTAGTAACTAAATTAACTTACGTAAATGAATAATATTGTGGAATCGCGATAAATTTATTATTTTGTATTACAAAGTGAACCACATATTTGATGATGGATTTAAAGATATATTCTCTTTTCTCAACAGGTAAAATTGAACATATTGTTGTAAAGTGTTCTTTCGTTGAGCGTTTTCTTTTAAATTATTTGGTAAAATAATGCGAAGTCCAGTTAATGTAACAATAACAAGTTAGTATATTTACTTTCTTTACGTTTACTACAGGTTAGCATCACTTGAACACAGTAATAGGCCCAAGTTCACAAATAATGTTTTCACTTTCAAAAGAAATTTACTTGCTGATGGCACTATGACTAACGTTAAAATATACTTAATTGTACAATTTCACGGGTGATTGACCGAGTAACTGAATATATGCGATAACTAATATTTACATGAATGCTCCACTTTGACTGGCACCCTAGAAACTGAAAATTGACTCAATGCTTCACCGATTCGCATACTTATTATATAGTCTTGTTTCTAGACACTTCACAAAATATCTTCGATCATTAACGTTCTAGGTATTCCAAGGCTACTTTTATAAACTTAATTGATCGTAATATCATGAGCCCTCCAGAAAACGTCTAAATTAAAACAATGAAAATATAGCTTAAACAATATAAATTGTGACGTAGGAGCCTAATAAACAGTGGCGTACCTATGGTATGGCAGGTACTCTGGGCGCCACTTGAAGTGGTCGCCATTGAGCAGTTTCTATTAAAGTCAGACAAGCCATCCTCGAATAGTGAAAAAAGAATTTTCTTCAGATGTATGAGCTGTCTTTGATTATCATGGGTGAGAAGCACTAGGATGGCTGGATTGTTAAACCACTTCTATAAATTATTAGGTAATAATACAGTGCTTGGAGCAACATGACCACACGCCTTATAGTACCACTGCTCAGTGCCAACTGGCAGTACGACCATTCTCCTGCGCAAACTAGGGAGGTAGTCCAGAATTTTGTGCAAAATCTTTGAAATTTAATGTTCTTATTAAAAGTGCCAATTTCCTTATTTTAGAGCATTGTGTAAGAAGACCATGAAATGTTGCTTCACGAAGAAGAAGGAAAGTGGAGCTGAAGGACGGAAGAGACGAAAGTTGAGGCAGAGGAAGCCAAGAAGTTGAGCAAGTTGTTAATTCACTTCTTTGAAAAGCCCGGAACAAGTAGTTCGACACGTCCCATGGAGTCGCCTACACCAGCTACAAGTTTGTTAGAATCCAAAGGTGGATCAAGTGCAAATGCGTCACAATCCGAGGAAAAAGTCAAGTTAGATAAATCCGAGTGTAACGAGATTAAGAGTGAGGCTGCCAAAAAGAACGTGGACATGACAGGAGGGGAAGACGATGGTGGTGGTGATGTTGAGTTTATTGAAGATTTTATCTGATGAGATTGAACCTGACGACACTGAACCTAGCAAACTGGATGCAAACCTCGAACTGTCATACCAGAAGTGATTGAACAGCATGACATTGGACTTCTGAAGTACGACAAGGATACTGGAAAAGCAATCCTGCTTGACACGTTGATAACAGAAATAATAAAGCTGGGTTCGAAATATTTCCAGAACAGCGAGGGGCCTTTCCTACCAACATATAACCGCTCAATAAACAAAACTTGGTTCAAGAGGAAATTTGCAAATGGTCATGGTGAGGAAGTGACTTGCTCATGGCTGGTCTATTCCCCTTCTAAAAAGTTTGCATTTTGTGTCTGTTATCTTCTCTATTCCCGGTCAGACGATCAATCCTCATTGAAGCAGGAAAGTGGATTCAACTAGTGGAAAGCACATGAAAGGATTAGTGTTCATGAAAATGCTAAGAATTATCGGGAGGGCTTCACACAGTGGAAAGAAATGGAAAGAAATTTAGCTGAAAACAGAGGAGTTATTGACGCGGAACTTTAGTCACAGATTGAGAAGAAAAAGCAGAAGTGGCGTGATATCTTGACAAGAATCCTTCACTGCATAAAATTCCTTGTGACTCAGAACCTGGCTTTGCGAGGACACAGGGAGTCACTTCAGCTAGACAATGACTCCGATGTAGGAAATTTCGTTGGCTTACTGAAACTACTCGCCATCTTTGACCCTTTCATGAAAGAACACCTCACTCGTGCGGAAAGTCATCCTGGATTCACGTTTTATCTTTCACCGGGTGTCCAGAACGAATTCATCCACATGATGGCATCCACTGTTAGCCAGAGTTTACTGAGAAGAATTCATAAAGCCAATTACTATGGTCTCATGTTCGACTCGACTCCTGATCAGGCACACCGTGAGCAGATGTCAGAAGTAGTGAGGAACATGGAAGCTGATTTTGAGAGGAAAACAGTCCGTGTTAGAGAGTCCTTCCTTGGTTGTACCCAGATAAGACAGAAGGATGCTGAGAGCTTGGTTGAAGACATCTTGAAAGAGCTAGAGAAGGACGAAATGGAGCTAGAAGATTGTCAGTCACAGTGCTATGACAATGCTGCCATGATGGCTGGACACAGAAGTGGTGTTCATTAAATAATAAGTGAGAAAAACAACCTGGCAGTTTTTATGAATTGCGACAATCACTCACTCAACTTGGTGGGTGTACATGCAGCCAACCAGGATACAATGATGGTCACGTTTTTTGGAATCATCAAAGCTCTCTATATGTTCTTCTCTCGTTCAACACAGCGCTGGGAAAACTAAAAAACGCCGCGCCTGTGGCTGTTAAGTTGCAGGTGGAGTGCAAGGACAGAAGAAGTGAAGCCCGTCAACAAGTACATTGAGGAGATACTTCAAGTTCTCCAGGACATGGTAGACAATGAAAATGAGACCAGCGAAACAAGAAGTGACGCAAGGTAGCCGTATAACCGCACGTTGAGTTACGATTTTCTGACTTTGCTAGGATTTTGGAACAAAGTACTCATTCGCATTGATCGTATTCAAAAGAGGCTGCAGGATCCTAGCATGAACTTCCACGAAGGTGCCCTGGATTGGAAAACCCTCCGAGATCATTTTGATGATGAAAGAGAAGTGTTGGTCAGTGAGTCACTCAAAGAAGGACTCGGTCTCTGTCAAGAATGGAATATTGAAGTTGAAAGACACCAGAGACGAAAAAAACAAATGACTGATGAAAATTCGAGAAACGCTAGGTTAACAGCCAAAGAGGAAATGGAAAGAGTCATGAAGGGAACACTCGACCGTCTTCACAGAGAAATGGACGACACTGACTCCAAATTTGGGTTTCTTCTTGATGTCGAGGGACTGTGTTACGGCGCCGACAGTAACGACCTAAAGAAAAAGTGCGAAAATTTGGGCGAACTGTACAGCTCTGATGTTGAAGGACAGCAGCTATATGAAGAAATTTTGGATTGCAGAATGCTGCTATCAAGTCGGGCCAACATGAAAATATCAAGACTTGAAGAGCTTCTCGAATCTATTGTTCAATATGGAGATGAGAGTGTCTTCCCCAATCTTCACATTGCTATTCAGATAATGCTAACCATCGCAGTTTCCATCGACAGCTGTGAGAGATCATTCAGCAAGTTAAAACTAATACTTTCGAATTTGAGAGCCTCCATGGGTCAAGGTAGACTCTGTGATCTTGCTCTGCTGAGCGTAGAAAGAGAAGAAACTAAAAAAAACTGACTTTGAGCACATCATAGACCAATTTGCAGCAGTGAAAGCAAGGAAGGTGTAGTTGTAATTTTCAT